TGTGCAATGTTGTTGTAATCTGTATAATCCCTGTGATGTATCTGCAAATCAGGAGCACAGCGATCAGCCTTTTGAAAGGAGGAAACAATGGGTGTTTTTTGAAACATGACAGACAACCGCTGAATTGTTTGATTTCAGCTGTGCAGGGAAATAAAATACAGGATTGTGTTCAAAGCTGAGAGCCTAAGCACACATATTAAACAAAAAAAATATCAGCTTTAATAATTTATCACATTTTATAAGGCAATTTAGCAGTCACTTGAAGTTGCTATGGTGACAGGGGGGTATTTTGAGACAACTAATGACCTATGCAAAACCCACTCACTGTAAACTTCACTCAAGCTAAATGAGATTGCTGTCTGTGCTATGTGTGATACATGGCTGAGAACTTAATCCTAGTGCTATGCTTGGCCTTTTTCCTGAACAAGACAAATTAAGGTTCTTAATATCGATGTAAAACATCTGTGGGCTGTTTACTGTTCAGGCTACATGAGCCAAGAGGCAACCATGGGCCAACATAACGCTACATAATAGTCTTTTGTTTTGATTGCTAATGCAGAATTCATAACAGTTGTCAGGTTGAGGTCAGGAAATAAAAAGCAGTGAGTGAAAGGAAAATTAATGCTTGTGATATGGCCTGAATGTAACTCAATATGTTGCACACTAAATCCACTTCAATATCTCTTTATTTTTCGGCTTACGTCAAAGATTCCACATTGGAAAAGCTTTTGAAGACTCACTCTGTTCTGGGGCGAATCATATTTGTCCAATAAGTGCTTGGCTTGTTGCAGCTGTCGAGGCTGAGACAGAGTGAGTCATGTGTTACCCATTTAAGCCCAATTTCTTCCATGCAAATGCCTGACATGTGTGACTCCGCAGGGCCCTGAGTTAAGACCGCTTTTTTCTAAAACAAGGAGAAAGAATCAAGTCCAGGGCTGCGTAACCATTTAGCCACCTGCTTCACCCATGACCTGCGCTGTGTTTATAGTCACTCAAAACAATCCGATTGCTTTGTTTCTGAAATGGCTTTGGAGCAGGCAGACTGCAATGAAATTTAATAGATACACAAAGAAAGGAAAAGATTCTGTGGTCTTTCCTTTAAATGAGTTCCCTTGGAAAAAAAAGATGTATCCTCTGAGCTTTTAAACGTTTTTCAAACCTCAAAAAATAAATCAAAACACAAACAAGGAGCAGTGGCTACTGATTGTAAAACCTGTTCAGTCTCCAGTGTGCTGAACCTTTTTGCCACTGGAGTAAATGTGAGGTTGACTAATAAAGGTGAACTCTCAGAGCTGTTTTGCTCTCCTTTACCTGGAAACGGTGGTATTCAGCGCCCCCTGTTGGCATACAACGGTTATCACAGAGAGCTGGTGACTTTTGTATTACACAGGATTACAAAGGTTAATTTACTGTGGAACATAATAACCGGGTTATTAATTATCCCGCCTTCAGTGAAGTTTTTCTGTTGGTCTTCTGCTGATAAAAGCTGTACAGTATAATTTTGTAACACAACATGCATCTCCAAGGGCAGCTTTTTATAGAAACGGAAATGTATCCAATGCTCTAAATATAACCCACTGCTGATGCCAGGAGTTTGTATTTTTAATATGTATTATAGAGGACTATTGTGTAAGATTTAGAGGGGCTCCAGTGGCAGAAATAAAATAGAGAAATTATCTTCACAGGGTTGCATTATTGTAATGAACTGAAAATAAGAATTATTGATTGTTTTTGTTGGCAAGAAATTAGATAGGCTGTTTGAATTAGCAAGGCCTCGTGCACGGAGTCCGCCATGTTTCTATAGGTTAGGCTAGACCAGAACAGAAGAGCCAAACACTGGACAAGACACAGTTTCTCTTGAATGCTTAAAGGGACAATTGGTTGCAATTTGCAATCTCACCACAAGATGCCCCTAAAATACACGTGTTTGTCTTTTCACGCTTAACACTATCAGCAATATTACTTATCAAGGTGAAATAATGCATTCATACAGCTGTTCGGGCACTTCAAACCCGACCGGAAACATGAATATTTCTCTAAACGATGACAAAAACAAGATGATGACTCCACTTCTCGTTTTAGAGAAAACTGGTAAAATAGACCTTCATACCAACAAGTCATATATAATTCCATATAAACTATGAAAAAACAAAAAAAGCTAAAATAAACCTTGCATATGCACAACTTAATTTGCTGTGCTTCATTTGTTGTGCAGAAAGCATTCCTTTTCACATGGTTTTGTGTTGATGTTTAACAACAACATGCCAATGCAAAAGAGAGAATCTTTCTAAATAAAACAACAACCATTTTCGTAGTGTTAAAGAAAACTTACACATATTGCAATTAACTCCTCTCCATGCTTTATGAGCTAAACAGATGTAACCTGAGCTTGTTTTTTTTTTTTTGGATCACCTCAGACTCCACACTGAGGAAGGTGAAATAGCTGAAAACGTTTGGTGACTTTAACATTTTATGCTACAACAAGTTTTATAATCTTTTTTTTTTTTTTATGGCCATGGCTCTCAGTGTTCATTGTGCCATGTTTCAGCATAAAAAAAACTATTTTTGGTGCCATCAAAACTAATAAGTTTGGGTACCATCAAATGATTCTATTTGTAACTGCTTTTTTTTAAATCTAACAGTCATCATTTTTGTAGTTTTAAAATATCGTTTTCGAATATCCATCTCAATGCTGATGCAGATTATTTCTTCATTGTGGTCTCTTTTATTCTCCTCCACATCACAAAGATTATATTTTTGTGCCGACACAGCAGACAGAGCAGCTCTATATGTGAGCTTTGTAACAGTGCTGATTGAAGCAGCAGCACAGAGGGAATCGCTGTTCTGTGATCAGTGACCAGAGCCCCTCGGCCATCCCATCATCACACAGTCCAGAGCTGAGTCTTTACAACCCCCTTCCCACAGAATCATTGGGAAGCAGGCTGAGGTTATGTCAGATGGCCTTTCTGTGCCAGTCAACAGAAGTAGATTGTCTTATTTTATGACAGTCTGGCTGACTGAATATGTCTCAATCGCTGGCAGATAAAAGGGCTGGACACTCACAGGGTTTACTGTAAAAACACAGGCTTGTTCGTACTGGGACAAAGGGGATTTTAGGTTTTTTTTTTTTTTTTGTATTTTTATTCTGGACCTCAATAGCATGAAAACAGGAAACAGGATACACACACAAGACTTTTTTCAGAAATACACTCCTGGTTTCCAAAAAAAACCTCAGCCTGCCATGTGTTCTTAAAGCAGGATGTAACACAAATCTCGACTACTCAAGTTTTTCAACTGTCTGAAATTGTCATTGTGATTTTACGTAATGCAGACCAAGAGATGATGAGGGACAATTTGTAACAAAGACAGGAAAAGTCTGTCCCCTTTCCAAGGTCATGAGCCTTTTTCTACTGTTTCCTCTTTTCTGCGCTGGTAGGAAGGCTTCATTGATTAATAGAAATGTACTCTGCATGTAGCCAAGTAGGACAACATGACTGGTGTGTGTGTGTGTGTGTGTGTGTGTGTGTGTGTGTGTGTGTGTGTGTGTTTAGACCCATGATTATGGTTTTATGTTGGATAAATTATAATAGATGATGAGATATGTCAACAGCTGAGGGTATACATTTACATATTTTAAGATGCAATTACCTATGATTTTGTGAAGGTTAAAGCATCAAATGACATCACAAGGGCTTCATGTAACTTTGCTTATACGGTATGATGTATACTAAAGGGTAAAAAAAAAAGAAGTCTATTTTATGCCTCCAGGGTTTTACAAAATATGCATACCAATATAATACCGGCCCAATGGTAAAATATCTTTATGCAATTATTACGGTTTAATACAGTTAATATTTATTTAAATAGGGCCTACAAATAATATTTACATTTAAAGACATAATAGCCTATAAAATAAATATCAATAATATAATACAGAGGTGGACACATCTGGCTGTAGATGTTCTCCCTGATTTTTTTTCCCAATTCATGGTTGTTGGCGATTTCGACATTATTTTTTTAATTTGTTATTTTGTGTCTACTAAAGTTGAATAATTAAGTATCTTTATTGTATTTGCATGTATGGCTGCTCATTGCTTGTCTGAAACTCTGTGTATTGTGCTACTGCCATTCTTGGTCGGGAATCTCTTGAAAAATATATTTTTAATCTCAACTAGTTTTTTCCTGGATAAATGAAGGTAAAAAAAAAAAAAAGTTATTTTCTTATAGCCTGTGTGTTTTACCTGAAACACAGTCTTTGCTCTTTGCAGTCTGGTTATAAATAACGTAATAACTTACTACAAACATATAATAAATCCATTGTTCTACTACAGAAGGGAATATTGTTATTAAACTAGGCTAAACATGTATTTGATGAGCATACACAATATCATTGACAGTAGGCTATATTTGCTTCTTATCAGTGAACTTATAAGAGTGAATCATATTTTCTAAACGAATTACATACAATGCAGTGTAACACCTTAGGCTACAGTAAATGAACAAAGTATGTAAAATGCAGTAGCCTAAAGTAAAAATAGATTAGTCCTACAGTAGGCTATATTAATGGAACAATAATAGCCTAAACCATAATTTTTAATTCACAGATGTCTACATGTAGCCTAATGCAGGGGATCCTATATTAGTCTGCTTTCTGATATTATTTTAACTTAATAGTTTTTGTCTGTCATTTCATTGAACATGTGACATTGGAGTCTGCAGGTCGGACCTGTGTTTTGCATTTCCTGGAATACAAACCAGCAGACAAAGAAGTGCACTTTGCCACTTTCCTTCTGTCTCTGACACATGAACACATGATGTGATGCTGCCCTCTCCTGTACAATCAAAGAGCTTGTGGTGGATTCACCAGGAATCATTAAATATTCTCAATGAGCTATCTTGAGACAGCTATAGCTTCTCATAAGTTCAGCCCGTTGAGTCCAGAGCAGCGCCATTAGGCTACTGCCCAGTATCTGATCCCAGGTCAGGATGGGACTGTCCTTACAGGCGGGGCTTAAAGTTGGTGACTTCGTTCGAAAAACTGCATCCACCAGAACTTTTCTCCCCTCTGTGGAGCAGCTTTAGCAGCACACTTGGACCTCGCTTTCGGGAATAACGAGTAACTACGGTGCAAAAATACCGACCTGCAACACGCTAGTAAGCGTGATGGGCCTGATTAAGTTTCTGTGTGCGGTTATAACCAGAGCGTTGTTTATCCTGGTGTCTCTGACCGGGGTCTGGAGGGTGACCAGGGTAAAGGAAGACCCCAATTACTGGTTCCTCACTTTCCTCTTTTTGCCGCTTGTTGCTGAAATGTTCATAACACTGAGGAGGAGAAAGGGCAAAGACTACAAATGGTAAGATGGGATGCATGCATGAAACTGGTTGGTAATGCAGCTATAACATAATGCTTCAGGGTGCAAATAAACCAAATATTTGTCTTTTTTTTTGTGAGAAACGAATCTCAACCTGCTTTTTTATTTTATTTTATTTCTTTACTTTTTTTTCTTTGGTGAATGTATTTAAATACATTTTGTCATCATGTCTACCTTTATCCCTTCCCCCCCCTCCTCAAATACTTTGCATCCTGCCTGTTTCTGTGCTGCTATTGTTCAAAAGGTCCTATGATAGTGAGGATGGGGTGGTACCTCTTAACTGTTATTCCAGGGACTCAACTGCTTCCCCCATATCTAATCTGCATCTGTTAACAATGATCTGTTCTTTATTTTCTTGACACGTAGCCTACAGTTTTCCTTTGTTGTTTAAAGCCACTAATAATAGATGCAGAATCTGTAATGTACCAGTGACATACAAAAAGCAATACAATGACTACACTAACTTAACTTTGCCGTGTGAAACTTAACTTTGCTCTGAATAGAAGCACCCACCCATGAATTTCCTCTCCCATGCTTAGAGATATTAATAACTTAAAATGTTTTGTTTTTCTTTTCGATTGGAAGGCTTCTCAAGAAATTGGGAGCAAAATTACAATACAATTATCATTTTGGAATTTAATGTAAGATCATTCAGGCTACATCATCAATTAATTTCTTTATAATGAGGAGATGACTCTTTCTATTTTAACAGTCAGCAGACGAAAAAATATTATTCTTAGGTTCATATAAGACAAAGAAAAGAAGCAATTTTTTTTTTTTACGTGCTTTTAATTTTTCAGAATTATGATTTCATTGCAGAATCATTTTTCCTCTGGTTCGTTAACAGAAAAATCAACTTATTGTGTAATCTAAGTAATTCTTATATTTATTGAGCAATATACGATACATGTAAGCTTCTGTGTGACTATGTAATGTAGAATTAAGGTTAAGTATTACATCATCTTTTCCCCTATGTCCTTATTGAGTTGTGTTAAGGAAGTGTTCTTTGTTGTCTTGCAGGTTTTCTCCTCCCATCTTTATGTTTCTCATCAGTATCATTCCCTCAATCTGGATCCTGGAGCTCCACTACCAGCAGGACAAACTTAGCGATCCACAGGTACTCCAAGAAAAAAAGAGCTCTTATGCTTTCCAAACATGTTATCTAATGATGTGTATGTGGATGGTTGGAAAACTGTATCTCTTTGTACATGTAGACACAGTATGTCATTCATTTGTTGATTCCATCATTCCATATTCTTAACTTGAGGCATTTAAGCAGTAGTTCAGTGAAAAGTACAAGAGAGCTATGTGAAAGTGAGTCTGTATAACACGTATTTTTTAACTGTTTTCAGTGCAAAAAACTTGACTCGTGGGAGAATCTGCGTAGAGTAATGACTGTGAACGAGACCCAGGGAAACTTCACATACCACGACTACCTGGGGGTAAGAGTGATGCACTGAAACATTTATTTTACTTCACTTAACGATAAGAACGTGTTATTTTTCATCGAAGAAAAGGAGAAAAAGAAAAAAACAGAAAGGAACAGGAGTGAGAATCATCATCTAGATGTTTTTAAACCATGGCGGATGTTCTGAATGTAGCGTCCAAAAGCATCCTGTTGGATCTCACAGAGATGCAGGACAATTTTAATCAAGTTGTTGTTGTTCTTTCTACAATGGTAGTTAAAGGTCCCATATTATGCTTTTTCTGGTTTTATATGCTCTTTAGTGTGTTTTCCAAGTGTCCTGTGCATGTTTAGGCACATCTATGTGCAAAAATTCAAAGTCCGCAGAAATGCGGCTTCTCCGACGTTCTCCTGTTAGCTGTAGCATTAGCTGCATGTAACGCTCGGTTTCTAGCCCCCCTCGATAAAAATTTGTCAGTCCGACGTCATTGTCAGTGTGAGATCACTGATCTAAGTCCATTGGCTCATTGTGGCAAGCCCTGCAGCTCATGTTTTAATTTCCGAGATGCGTGCTGATTTACTGACCAATAACGACAGAGCGGATCGGCAGACCAATCAGAGCAGACTTGGCCCACGTGGGGTCTAACAGTGTGGGCTCAACAGAGTGCAGCTGACAGACTCAGAGCGTAGAGGGAGCAAGGAGGAGCAGTACATGAAAACAAGACACTTTTACAGACTTTATCCATTGTGAACATACAAAAGTAGGTACATAGATTAAATATACAAACCCCAAAAAGGGCATAATATGGGCTCTTTAAGGTGGAGGAATTTCATTTAATTCAAAGCATGTACAAAAAGCCAACAATGTTTTTGAAGGATACATTTCACCTGTAATTTGCTTTAGAAAACAAAACTAAGTGTCAAACTGTTGAAATGTAAACATCATCAACCCTGTGCCCTCTAAGGTAATACACACACATGCATGTGCTAATATTAAAACAGACAATCTTGAAGTAACATCAAGCCGACTGAGAGGCCTGTGTTAATGTTAGCATTACTAGCAACAAGGTGTGAATGACTTCTGACAAAACTTAAGAATAACTCAATGGCAAATAATTTCAAACATTGCATTTTCTAGCAAAATGAAACACATGGACTATTTTTAAATTAACACATTTTATTCATTGTTACACATAAAATATATCTTTGTCACCTGTTGCTCCAAAGCCCTGCTTGCACTCTTCCTCAACCAGGAACTGTCAAACAGAACTGAATCCTGCTAAGTGGAAGGTGCCAATGTTTGGTAGAGGTGGAGGGGTTTTTAGGCTGTTGAGATTAAGTATGTTATTTAAATGGCTGTTTAAGTAGGTATATTTATTACTCAACTGGAATGTATTTTGATATGATTTTAGCCTTATTGCAGATATTATGTGTTGTTTGTAGATCAGATAATACTCACCTGAGAGTAAATTGATTTCCAACCCTTTTTGGTAGGTGCCAACTCCTATATAAGAGGAGGCTTGAGGGCCTTGCCGGTTGTTGGAGGTTGGATGCTGGAGTTTAACAGTGTTGGAGATTTTGATGACAATAATCAAAGAGTGAACAGAGCTGCAAGGGCCCAGAGTGGCATTGTTTAGAGCTCAGTCTTTTTTTTTGTTTGTTTGTTACTTTTTGCATTTTATTATTTTTTCTTGCAAGTATTATTTTTGATCTTTACATGTTTCTCCAGGCCGGCACCCTGCATATTGCTGCAGTTGATTTATTTCACTGTAAATAAATTCACTTGGACTGCATTTTTGAATTTTTCCTAATATTTGGGCCAACCCACTAGGCCATCCTTAAATTTGTAACCATATTCTTGGTTGGATCTGGAAACTAAATGCAATGCTGAATTTAAAAAAAACTTAAAATAAGCAAAACAATGTCTATCCAAACCCTGCTTTGAAGCAGTAATTGAGTAATGAGGGGTCCCTGAGGAAACTTGTTAGGGTGGTAGGGAGCAGAGATTTTGAGAGATATTTTAATGGTCTGTTTTCAGTGAATGCGAATATGAAAGAGAAAAACTTTTGCATCCTAAAGAGCCAAACATATGGGGCGCTGGTGGCGCAGTGGTTAGTGCACGCGTCCTATGTATGGAGGCTGTAGTCCTCCAAGCAGACGGCCCAAATCCAACCTGTCCTTTCCCGCACGTCATTTTTCTCTCTCTCTCTCTCTCTCTCTCTCTCTCTCTCTCTCTCTCTCTCTCTCTCTCTCTCTCTCTTCTCTCTCTCTCTCTCTCTCTCTCTCTCTCTCTCTCTCTCTCTCTCTCTCTCTCTCTCTCTCTCTCTCTCTCTCTCTCTCTCTCTCTCTCTCTCTCTCTCTCACAACAAATACAGGAAATTCCTTTTGGAAGATTTAAACCCTCTCTTCTTTATCTCTAAAGGAACTTTGAGAGGATTGGCAGAATTTAAAGTTCATAGTGCCAAATTGAAATACCGTTTAAAGAATCATATGTATGTTCATAAGTCTTTGTTTCATTGTTGATTTGAATTTGAATCAGAGGTCTGAGCAAAGACAAAGAATACATTTCTGTTGTTATTCAAGATGAGAATGGTTAAATCAATCTGGTCAATGGATTGGATTAAGCAAGACAATAATGTCTAATAGCAAGACTTGAAAGGCTTTCAGGCTTTAAAGTATATGTTCTTTGATTACGGTATTAAAACTTAGAGATAGGTAACGTGAACTAAAATGTAGATTAAAAGAGGTCCTAAAATTGATCCTTGAGGAACTCCACTAGCCAACATACTATGATTAACATTTTCAGAGTAAACATTTTAGTCAAAAAGTAAATGTGTCACTTCCAGCCTGATCTTACTGCAACAGAATTTTGTAGGATGAGCTGTCTTTCCGCTTTGTTTCAGAAGAAGAGAAAAGCAGAAACAAGAATAAATCTAAACTAACAATATGCTGAGTCACAAAGGAATGAAATGAGTGTAGACACTACAAACAGGTAAAAAAAATGGTCTTCCCCAGTGTTTATTTGTTTCTTTCTTCAAAGTGTTCAGTGTTTTATTTTGTGGAACTCACCTCTGTATTTATATCACTTTCTGCCCTCCTATGTTTTCCCTCAGCACCCAAACCCACCCTGAAAACTGTCACTTCTGCCTGATTAGGTTCACTTTTACCCGATAAGCTTTACCTTCCTTTGTTTAGTTGTTCTTCCCTGTCTCTAGTTTTTGTATCTCCTTACAAGCCCACCACCTCTCCTAGTGTGTATCTTTGTGATTTTATAGACATTTTCTGTATTTTCCCCTGGTCCTTGACTGTGTTTAGATTTGATTTTCTCTCACCCCTTGAAAAGGTTTTTTTTTAGCTTTTTTGGAACTGCACTAACTCTTGGGTCATGTTCCAAAGAGTTAGTGCTCCCCATGCTTTTAGACTTTTCATGTTTTACCATTTTCCTGTTAACCCTAACTGACAACATGTTAATGTCTGGACGGAGTCCGACATCTACATGAACTATACAATTAATTGCCATTTTTCTTAGATAAAGATATCAAAATAACTGTATTTCTGCCATTTACAACAAACAAAACCAGTGTGACCGATAACAATAAGAGCAGAGCATTCCAAGTGGTTTATATAAACAATGAGACCACTAACACACCCATTAATCCCAGGGGAATTCAAAAGTAAAAGTTGGTGGACACACCTCTAAAAGCTTGCTGCAGGCCTCAGCCCTTTACTGTGTTTGAGATAGATAAACAATGTCCAACTACAGAAACATAATCTCATACAATTCAATGAACAATTAATATACGGTGCTTGCAAAGCATCTGTCTCTGTCCCATTCCTGAAGATAGTCCTTAACAAATGCAGGGTTCAGCCCTATTTTGTAGCTTTTATCTTTTTAATCCCTTGAGAGTGCATATCTGTTTATTAAGATTTACATCCTCTGTTGGACATGCTAGCACTTCCAGCTGTTGGGAATTTGGAGAGTATTAACTGGCAGTTGATGGATGTGGGTTTTATGTTTCATTATATATGTATTTGATTTCGGTTAACCAAAAACTGTAGCAATAATTAAGAACACAATTTGATCTTTTCTGATTTGAGAAATCCAGCAAACTCAGAAAAACTCAAGTTGTTGTTTACGAAATACATTTCAGTCTCTCCTTTTTTCCAGAACATTAACCAGGTGTTATCAGCAGTCTGTTCAAACGACTGGATCCTGGCTCTACATCAGATCCTTCTCATCCTCCTCATTGTGGGAAAGTGGCTTCTTCCCCTGGGGGGCGGGGTCACACGGGACGAGCTATCGCAGCTTCTCCTTATTTTTGTCGGCACTGCTGCAGACATCCTGGAATTTACCAGTGAGACACTCTCAGATGTCAAGTGAGTGGCTCATTATGTCGCTTATTGTCTTTTTTTTAATTTTTTTTGTCCTGCATATGAGTGTGTTCACAACAGATGTGAGGTTATACAACAACAACTCAATTTGAATCATATTCTTTTCATTCAATGCTTAAACAGAAAAAGCCTCCATTTAATTTGACATTTAATTCAACTTTAAGGACTGACTCCCACTGTGTTTTCCATGTGTATTTAACAGAGACAACAGTCCACAGCTGGTCTACATCATACTAGCTGTATGGACCTGGAGCATGTTGCAGTTCCCCCTACATCTGTCCGGTCAGTGTGTTTGTGTGTTAACCCCAAACTTGTGTGCTTTTGAAGTGCTCACGGCTTAAAATGCAGCTGTTATTGTTGAGCATTACTCCTCCCAATGAGGGAAAATCTAAACAGTGTGTTTAAAGATTGGAAAACAAATAAATAAAGTCACCAGCATCCAGGCCAGTGCTGTAAGGAAACAGTTTGCTTGAGACCACTCGCTCCCATAGCTTTGTCAAACAAGCAATTAACCCAAGAGTCTGGGCTATAATTAAGGAAAATAGAATGTTCCTACTTTTGAAAATTTACTTCACACACTGCAGCCTTGTTTCAGGAAAAGACAACTCCCATTAATAATATTAATTATTCATTATCCAAACTTCAATAATGCATAAATGGATGTGCTTCCTCATAACACTCCTTTCATGAGTAGCTTTACTGGTATAGTGCATTTAAAGCACTTAAGCTTTGAGTGGGCAGTTGTGGTTACATGTGTGTGTGTGTGTGTGTGTGTTTGTGTCCGCTCATGTGGGCAGATCTGTTGGGCGGTGTAAACTTGCAGTCACCCCTTTATTTGTTTGAATGCAGCATAAACACAGCAAGTGTTGACATACAGGTGCCACAAGTCTAAACATCAGAGTTTCAGAGCTCATCAGAACCAGATAGAGACAGGGACTCAAAAGCAGACTCACACGTGGCTGAGTTCAGGAAAAGGCGGAGTTTAATACAGTCCAGGTCGGTACACAGGAAGGCAAATCTTCGAGGCAAACAAATCCAAAGGGAGAAGGCAAAAGGCAAAACAGTAAGGCAGGCACGGTCAAAAATCACTTTAAAGCTACTAGGGGAAAAAAGGCTGAAACAAGGCGACACACAGGAACACACTACAAACTGGCAACACAAGGGAGGAAACACAGAGGTATATACACACAGACAATCAGGGGATAACGAGACACAGGTGAGCACAATCAGGGCAGGGAGGCTCAAGGCAGGAAAACATGAGGAGCAGGATCTGAAAGACAGAGACAAGGGTAACAGACAATAATACTAAATAAATGAGAAAAAACAAAACGTGGCAAACGTAGGTAACTTTACGGATCCTGTCAAAGTCTGTCATATTTCAGACGTTAAATTACTCCTGCCTCAAAAGGTTTCATGTTTTAAAAAATTCAGTCCCTGAAAGAAGAGCAACCTTAATCTATGAAAATATGTTTTAAAAAAAACAATCTGAGTTGTGCAATGAGGCAGGTTGTATATCTTCTGTCCTTAAGTCTTGTATGTCTTTGATGTTAAAACGTGATGTTTTCTTTAGGGATTTAGCTATTTTAATACCAGGGGCTCTTGACCTTGGCAGTTGAATACATATTGATATGATAGATGTTTGGAAGCTCCAGAATCCATATTTTGTATGTGACTTATGTTTGCATATGTCAGATACATCTGTCAGATGCATCAATGTGCCTGGGTATTCAACCAGGCACATTGAAACTACTAGTTTCTTTGGATGACCGAACTCCTGATTTTGCCTTTTGATTTCCTAAAGTGGTGAACAACAAACCAGACTGTGAGGGTGAGCCGGGGGCCCAGGAGGTTTCTCTTTTGTCCAAACACAGCACAGACATATGGAACATCGTGGAGGCATTGTTTATCCAGGACGGGCCTTTCCTGGTGGTCAGGCTCACTGTCATGACCTACTTCGACGTCTTCCACCAGATGCTGGTTTTCTTCGCCATCAAGAACTTCATGGTGGTAATACTGAACTTCTACAGGTTGGCCGTGATATGCCAGGACTTTAGACCCTCCAGCAGCGACAGCAGGATCAGCACGGTCCCCGCACTTTGATGATTCAGGGAGATGGAGGGATGATGTAGGCAAAGTTTTGCAGTTGCAGTGGACTGGTGAAAATTGCCATTGCAGCAGAAAAAGAGGGACTTTTTTTTTTTTTCACAATGCACTTTAGCTGTGAATAATGAAGGTATTGAGAAGATAAAATATTAGTAACAGTTTCCTTACAGTTTCAAGAGGATAGAGCTTGAGTTGTAGATATCATTGTCAAGCATTCAACTACTTTCAGAGTTTATACTTCCCTTCAGTGACATTTCAGTCCCTCTGGAGCTATCCTCAACTAAGTTAAAAATCCCCCATCTATACAGTACTTGAATGAGATAATGCAAGCAGACTAAATCTGGGGATAGGGAGGGGGAAAAAAAGGAAAGAAGCAGCAGGAAAAAAAGATGATTGTATGAACTGATAATGCATTTTACCAAGACTGTCAGCTGAATGAACCAAATGCAAATGTTTGAACACAGGAAATGAAGTCATGCTGCTGCCGGAGAAAAGAATTTCAACTTCTCTGTCTATTTCCAGACTGTTCCTAGACATAATTAAGTTCAATTTAACATCTTTTTTTTTTGTCAAAGTCTGATCATAACAACAGTAAGAGCTTAAAATTCCTCTTGACATAACTTTATTTGACTGAAATAATCATCTCTGTAGATAACAGTGATACACAAAAGAAAACATGATCCCCTTATAAATGAGCCTGCACAACATCAGGAATTATAAGATCAAATTCAAGCCTCACGTCTGTGTAGTTTATTTAGTTCTCAGAGTTTCTCACTTCAGTCTAAAAAGTCAACTGAATGTCTGCAATTAACAAAAGTCTTCACAGGATTTTTGTCACAAATTTTACAATTTAAATGCATATCAAACAAGTCCATTATTTGTCAAGCAGAATCTCCAAGCGTCCTCCTGGTGGTGTTAAAAGGAAGGTCATGGGCTCACCATGAATGTTGTCACAGAATTTTATGGTGATCCAATAAAATGTTGGGTTTTTTTTTGTTATTTTTAGGTTCCGATGGATTGATACTGATACTCTTTAATTCTCTGAAATGAGCATTTTTGAAATTCTTATATCTCCAAAGAAGAAGAAGGTTTATACCTCATGACGCAAAGAAAAGTCTGCTGTAAGCAGGAACGTTTCCCCTGCTCGATTTCTAACAATGTGATTCCTGGTATCTCATCTAGCGGAAGTAAGAACTGTGGGAAGAGGAAGAGAGAAAGACGGAGAGAGTTATTCTAGGAGACACAACAGCTGCAAGTGTTGACACAACATTTTTTCTGTCTCAATCCAGACGGGAAGTTAAAACATCCCATCCTGTGACAGGAGGCATTTTGAATAAAACACAATGTTGTCTTTACTTTTATTTTATACCTCTTGAATATTCTTCTTTAAGAAGGAGAAATGTGCCATCAACAGGTCAAATTGTCATTATCACAAAGTGATACTTTCCCTACTGTTACTGTTTGTAAGCATTACGAGATAGTTGTAACTCTGTGACCTGATCAAAATCTGTGTGCATTTCTGCAATATCTTAAAAAGGGACATCAAACATGAAATTACAGTCAGGTTTTCAACTCAATTTGAGTTGTGCATGTGTGACCCTTTGAAACATTAGCAGTATTTTTAATGCCAAAGAATCATTATCATGACTCCGTGTTTTAAACTGTACAGTCTAAACTTGTAAAGGGCTCAAATGTTTTTTTAGGTGCTGGAATCAGACAACCCAAAAGCATTGTAAGCTGGACTGTCCAAGTGTTTATGCCACTGCATCATTATATTATTATTGTTATATGTTTCTGTGGCTTTGCTTGATAATAAATCTGTTATTGTCAGTTTGCTCTGATTTATTTCTTATAATTTCAAAAATATGTCCTTAGAATATTATCTGTACACAAAGCAGTGGTTTCTAGAATGCTCTAAAGATAAAATAAGATTCATCTCACAAAGGATACATTCACAGTGTTACAGAAGCAAAGAGCAAGGATAGCAAAAAAAGAGCACACAGTGCACAATTAGATAAAAAATGAAAATAGTTGAGAGGCCAAAAACAGAGCTGCAGTTGTTACAAATGTAACTTTCACAGTTGCTTGCTTACACCAATAAATGCTTTGTTGGAAAAATCCTGTTTCACTAGATCCTTTAGTTATTGACTAACTTACTACATTTACTCAAATACTGTACAGGTACTTGTACAGTTAAGTTGATAGAAGCTATTCTACAATATACCTGTATACTTGAACACCTCTCAGAAGGAAAGACTCCCTTTTTTTACCCCACTATTCTTTTAACTGTTCCCAGCTACTTTGAGATGCTTTGTCATAAAGTCATAACCACACTGACTACAGCTGCTCAGGTTGGCTAATGAAGTTTTAAAATGCCCAGCATCAAAATGAACTAGAGGGCACTTGAAGGCAACATGTCTTGATGTTTTTTGCAAATGCTAATAACTTTTGTGTAGCCTACATGTTATTATCTCTTGTGTGCATTAGATTAAAACAATATATGTATTATCTTTCAGGTATTTGAAGGCTCCTTTATTAATCAGTCTGATAGGGGCTATTTTGCATGCTGAGTATTTTACGTTCCAAACTTTTAGTCCATTTTGCTGGTTATACATGTGAATTTCACGCACCATATATATTATAGAGGGATTTAAATATTTCTTCCACTGCTGGTTACACAGAACATATGAAAAAACACAAATATGCCCTGATCACATTTCGTTTTTGTCTTCATCTTCCAAAGGAAAAAGGAGCAGATCGTATCCCAGACCGTTCCACTAAAACAATGGCTGACCTTACAGAAGCAGCTCAATGTTAATATGAAAATCCACCCTGGTGATGATTTCTTTTGGATTGCACTTTCTTTTAGTCTTCTGAAACAGACTGTCTCCCCACTGTGGTCATCAGAGTTAACAACACTTCAATTGATTATGTCATGTGATGACATCTTTTAAAAGACTGTGTTGGCAGTTGTATTTTTTAAGTATTGCATCACAATTATTCGAACACAGACATGTTTAAAGCTGTGAATCATTATCAGAGAGCGTCCGCGTAAAATCACCAGGGCCGTTTCAGTGGTGTCATGAGAGTTTTTCTGTTAATCATCATCCAGCAAACATCATCCATCTTAACGTCATCAACCCTCCCCTTATTGGGTGTTTGGTGGAGTGTTGTTGAACTTCGGTTGAGATGTGATGACTGTGAACAGTCACTAATGCGTTTGGGCGACATTTTTTTCAACTTCTTAAAATGACTAAAAGTCTTCTTTTGTCCTGTCTTGAAGCACCTGTACTCATGTGTCTTTTCATTAACGTAATTGAACGTTTAAAAGATAAATTCAACATATACAGCCAATGCATCTTTTACTACAAAAAATTAGAAGACCAGCCTTATGCATTTTTGACATCTAGATAAAGTATAAATTAAAGGTACAACATTTTTAAGTTGGAGAATTTAAACAATACTATGCTTTTTTTTTCTGAACTGAATACACAAACTTTATTCAAAGGAAAAATTGAGTCCCTGGAACACTGTTTAGATCTAAAAAGCTACCAGGAGAGTTACAGTTTCACTGTTGTGGGCCACCCACTATAACTTCTCCCTTTGCATTTTATCTTCAAACAGTGCTCCAGGGACCAAATTCCCCTGAGGACAGTTTGTGTATAGAGTTATGAACATATACCACAGATCTCTAATTTCCCTATTTTTCTACCAAAACTTCATAGTGCACCTTTAAACAATACACACACCAACATTCATTTCAACCATCAACTAAATTAAGTCTAACATTTTGTCTTCTGATAGCTCTTACAGTTTGGACAGCACGAGAGAAATGGCCAAAAGCCAGATTCATATGCAATATGTCATTTAGGACACAACAAAGTGCAAAACATTGTTCCGTTTTGATTCTTAATGAAAGACAGCATTGGCGAAGGAGGTCCATTCACTTTCTGCTACCAAATTTGTGTAAAAATAATTCTTGACACATCATTAAACATGACACGTTATTCTTTCATCCATCCATACCCATAAAGCAGAGTGTGCACCCGTGCAATGACAACTCATCAGGATTCCTTTCATTACTGAACATAAGGGACAATAGGCCTATATCGAAGTGGGTGTTGAATATCAAAAAAAAAAACACAAAGCAACATCTCAGATTTGTGTGGTCAAACATGTATCTTCATTGCAAAGTGATGGTGTAATGAAAAGGACAAGAGAACTACAATAACTAGCCTACACTTAACATGCATTCAGGGTGAACTCGGCTGCCATGTTGTGGCCACTCTAGGTATCTCATCTCATAATCTGTCTCAATTTATTTTTACACCATACACTCTGATAACTTACACCTCAGTAAACAGCTACCTGTTGTCATCTCCATTCTGAACAGTTTTGTAAATGTACATTTTAAATGCGAGGGGGAGAGAGTAGCCAGGCTGCAGCCTTACAGTCTAGGGTTTGTCGGGAGAAGTTTGTGGGTGTAATCTGACTCAGTGAATGGGCTGGGCTTGATTTCGCTCTCACAGCCCAAACAAGCCCAGCCCTCCAGGTCCTAAAACAGGTTTGTATTACACACTCGGGTGGGGTTGTTATTTGGTATCTACACCACACCCTCTGTCAGACTCTCTTTAACAAGAAAGACGAACAGGACCTCTGTATAATCGGCCAGACTTCATCGCGCCTGCCCACGTCTCGTCCCTGTTCTGTTCCCCGCTCTACGCGCTTTGATCGTCCGTCATGTTCCGCTGTGGGATCGCGTACCCCCGGTGCAGGTGGATCGTGCCCCTGCTGCTCCTCTTCGCCATTATTTTTGACATTATCGCCATCGCGGCCACGTCAGGATGGGTGGAGGACGAGGACGCCAAATCCCACTACGCCAGTATGTGGGAGCAGTGCCGAGGCAGGAACGACGTCTGGGACTGCAAGTCTCTCATGGAGCACTGTAAGTGTCAGTTACGTCACGTTGAACATGTAAGGGTCGTAAACTGTAAAGCGTATGGTGCGAGGTAAAACCGAGAGAAACCATGGTTCGAACAGCCAATAAAATAGTGCCATCGAGTGTTACGCGTCATTAATGCAAGGTCTTGACCTCTGGTAGTATGTAGGTATAAAGTCCAGGCAGGGGAAAGTGAGGCCTACGACCCTCTCTAGTCAGTCTGAACTTTGGTCCATAATGGCCTTTTATCACTTCAAGCCCGCCCGAGGAGGGAGGTGCATTCAGGTGTTGAATTGAAAACTGTAACAGACTCTTCTTCGAGTTCAAATTTTACCTTTTGGGAAGGCTTTTTGAAATTCCGGCCTCTCATAATTTCAGCTTAATGTAATGAGACTTAAAGCCCAATATAACATAAAGGGCTTAAATGAGTTTTGAAGAATGTATTTCATCGAGAAAAAAAAAAAAGTCAAAGAATCATAACGATCATAGCAGCTCTGTAACCTGTGGCTTCTTCTGTAACTGTTACTGCTGGTAGATGGAGCGCATGTTCTTCTATAATCTGACTTTAATATGAAGAGTGATTTAATATGAGCTGTAGGCCAAGTGTCATATCAGAAAGATTTAATCATATTACACAAGATACAACCTTACCAGGCAGACACTGGCAGTTTGTTCGGGTCAAGCAGAGCTCCATTATCATACAGGAAAGCTTCCTGTTTGCTGTTTTTCTACTTTAAAAAACAAACCCTACAGGAAAAAAGACAAAACAGGCCTACTTCTAATACAACTATATTTCCGCTTTTCCTGCACAACCACACCACTATTTTACAACAGCCGGCAGTAAGAGAATATCCGCCTCAATATAGTGTAAAAATGTGTCTTTAAAGAGCTCAAGTCTTCTAAAACTGCTTCCTGAGTGCACTTATAGTTTAACATAGGTGTGCTGGGGTCAGACACCTCGAGGCTGGTTTGAAGATTTGAGACAGCAGGCCTATAGGACTGATACAACAGAAGTCTGTGTGCATGTTAGTCCTTTAAACTCAAATGTGACTTCTTGCAGACACTGTTCATCTAAAGAAGCAATATATCAGTGACAAAATGATCACATCTGAAACAGTGTTTAACGTTAATTGTGAGCCGAACAGACTTGTGTTCTTCCTTCTCAGGTTGTATCTGTGGGTTTTTTTTTCTTGGACACCCATGGTCACTGACAAAGACTGTATTGTTGCCCTTTATCAGCAGTCACAGCTATTAGCACAGAGCTCCATACTGTTACCTGCAGAAACAACAAAAAGTTCCCAAGACATTGGCTTCTTTAAAAATCATTCAATCGAGCCGTCATCTTATCAGTGGTTTTGTCCATTTCCAGCCCTTCTTTGCAGGAAACTTTAGCTTGTATTTTAAAAAAAAGCAACGTTACTGCAGATTCCTTAAATGAAAGCTTGAATGACCTAAATATTCCCTCACATTTAGCGTGTGCTATTTACGGCTGCCGGAACATTTCAATATTTAAAATAAAACACTTATAGTTGGTGAATGTTTGAAGGTTCCAGCGTCTCAAATGAGAAAACATTTCTTCCTTTCTTCTTCTCAGATAAAAACTGAATTCATTGTTTTCCTTGGATATTTCTTCGTAGAAAACGCAACAATTAGTGACATCAGGGATGTTGAGCAAAATAGTTCATAGTTTAAAGAAGCATTTGTTGCCGGTTACATAAATCCTCTTTAATTTGAGATGAACCTTTTATAACTAGATGTTAACTCCAAAGGTTTTGTCCCGTTTTCAATGGTGCTTCCACAATAGTCCTTCAGGGACTTGCTCTGTAAAAAGGTTACATTTTTGTCAAGACCTAAAGTTTTTATCACATCTTGGGTCAGCAGCAGCAGCAGTAGAGAATGTACAAACAATTATGAGAACAAATATGGGACTAAAAGCTATTCTATACTTACAATACCATTAAATTGGTGCTAATACTGATTTTACAGAATAAAGAAGCTTGAACATTTTATTGGGTTTGTAAAATTATGAAGCAGCATGAGAACCGTGACAACTTGTTCTTTTGAAATCTTCGGTAATCTTGGTGTGCTCTTTGGTTCTTCACATGAAGTTGTTTTGTTCTTTGTCTGAACTGTTGGCTGCTTCTGTTTCGGTGTCTCTTAAAGTCTCAGCACTAAACGCTCTTAAACAAAAGAAGATCACAGCTGCCAGAACACTGCTGGCTCAATCTTGGACACATTTTTGCCCCGAGGATCCTCTGAGCATTCTTGTGTCGACGCTCTGACTCAGATACTTGTGGGTAGAGGTTGTTGAACTGAAAACTGAGGACTCAACACAAACAGCAAAAACGTCAACGTGTGTGGTTATGGGACGATATTTGCATCAGACAAAACAGCCGCCTCCCTGTCATTGTTTTGAAGCCGCTCCCCCGGTAAATAGGGAAGGCTGCAGCTTTCCTGTGAACTACAGGAACTAACATGTTTTCATGTTGTGGAAATGAGTGCGTCATTGGCGAGTATTTGAGAGTAGATAGTTAGTGGTTACAGCATTTAAGACCACAAGGCAATAAGAGAAATTTGCACTATTTTAAAAAGGTAGATCTCTCAGGAAACATTTGATTTGAAGATTCAAGCTTCCTTTTTTTTTTAAATTTTATTTAAGTTGTATTCCTGGATTATCCAAAAAAAAAAAAACAATTTCAGTCTCTAGTGTATCCAACAGCATGTCAGTTCCTGCACATTTAGATTTCAGTGTTTAATTGGAAGCCCTGCACATGTTATATTATGGATGTATCTGCATTTTATTTTCTTAATTAACTTTTCAGTCAGGAAAATGCCAGGAAGCCATGAGAAATGTCCAACATAATCCCTTTAAAGCACAAAGACAGATACCTTGTGACCTTGTGTTATCCGCCCATGGGTCCAAAAACCAAAAGCATTCAGGTGACTGTTGTCCATACAATTCAAAAAGTTAGCAAAAACTGAACTCAGATTCTGCATTTTTTTACTCGTTTTATTACTTGTTTTATGCTCAAAACTTTTAACAAAGCATTGTCGGAAATTAAGTTTCTTACTATTGATTATTGTTTTATCACTAAATACTATCCAGACACATTCTTTCAACATTGCCCACTCTTAATACATAATCGAACACACACACTTTCACTTTCTTTCTATAATCTCTCCAGTTATATCATAGTTCCACTTTTTGTGTGTGTCACCAAGCAGGTCGTTTCTAAAGAAGCCGTTTGTGCAGCATGAATTGAACCACTGAAAAATGAAACCTTTGAAACTGTGCTCTCATCACGGAAAGCTGCATGCTGTGAAGGTGTCCCATTAAAAAATCTCTTCAGTCAAAGTGCAGGGTGTCGAGCTGATCCCCGCTGACTTCATGAGAGACTTTCTCTACAAGCTTTTGATGAATATTATCCTTGACTGTAAGACCAAGGCTGCCCTGCATACTTCAGAGCGAACACATTTGTCAGAGTCATTGCTTCATGCAGTACATGTGGGAGAGTGTGAGCTTGTATCAGTTAATCAGAGGTGTGTTTCAATGGAAAAGTCACAGTTTAGAACATAAAGTGAAGCATAATCTCTTTAGTTTGGATAGGATCAAGGAGACAGATGTTGAACAGCTGGATGGATTTAAGTACGAGTGATCAGGACAGTGAGTTCTAGTTTGCACAGCAGACATCTTCACATGTTTATTAAGTAGAGAACATTACCCAGTTAAAAACAAATACACAGATAGAAGGACACAAAACATAACAGGTTTACGTATAGACCTACTTAAAGCTTCTGCAAGCTGATTATGAACCAGGCTGATATTAAAAATGACGCCTCTTTATGAGCAACAAAAGCAAGCAAAACTATCAGCATTACGATTCATTATTTCTGTATTGTCATTTTTAATGTCTGAATTGGCCTCCATAAGGTGGGTGTCAAATAATGAACAGCCCCCTGCCAGAAGAGCCTTTTTTTTTTACTTTTTTTTTTTTTTTTAAACTTTTTTTCACCTTGGAAAAAATAGGACAGTGGATAGAGTTGGAAATTAGGGACAGAGAGTGTGGGGAATGACATGCGGGAAAAGGTGCCACAGGTTGGATTTGAACCCGGCTGCCCCCCCTCGAGGACTACACCCTCCATACATGGGGCGCGCGCACTAAACACTTAATTCTCCCCTATTCTTGATATATTTCACAGTTAAAAGAATGCATGATGATATTTTTTTAAAATTAAAAACGTACACATCTACAGATTTCAGCAAAGAGATTAGTGGTACCGCTGTGTCATCAGGTGGTGCCAAAGTCGGTGCAATCCAAACGTTCCTCACAGGAGCTTTAAAGTAATCAGAGAAACATGAACAAAGGAACACAGTTTGAAACAGCCCTTATATACAACTGTTGCTCATGTTTCAATTATTAGAACAACGATAATGGAACATTTTTAGCACCTTGAAGGACTTCTAGAAATTAAACTTAATGGCAACGAGAAGACATCCATTGTTTTGACACATCTTCTACTGAAAAATTATTTAAATAAATCCAACCAATCATATGTCCTCACACAAGTTTCTCATAAAATACAATCAGTAACATTTCTGTTAAAGCCTCTGGACTGATATTATACAAGTAGATAAGCTGTGCTTACATTCTACCAGATGTTTCCATCGTTGTCTCAAAGTTGAGAAATGTGTTTATTTTTTTCATATTAATAATGGTGCGTTTCCATTTAGTTATCTTACAGGGAAACACAGGAAATGATGCGTCCGATAGTGAGTCAAAGAAAAACATAAATTGTTTATTTAAACTAAAGTAGATCTGTTTAGTTAGAATACACTGAAATAATGTAAATTACATTTTAATTAATGAGCTGAATTGTAAACATGATTTCTCCCTGGGACACGTCTTTTCAATTTCCATTGTCAATGATGGCAGTTTAACACTTTAACACTCAACAATCTCCCATGAGCCTACAGTACATTTACAACATTACATGTTGTCTAATTGGTCCTTTTAGAAGGAGCATAAAAACGTGTATGGTTTAAAGCTGCAGAATATTTACAGTGCAGCTGATTTCTACCATTAAATGACTGTTTAGAGCCATAGCCACTTTGTTGCAAAGTTTTTGTGGAAAGATCTCACTCTCCCAGGCTGGCTGATATCTAAATGCTTTGTTTATGAGCAATCTAATCTGAATGAGGGATAGATCAACAAACTATGATACTGTATGTCTATAAAGTCTCAGTTCATTATTCTGTTCTTGACCTGACTATAGCAGAACATTGTGTTGTCAGTGAGCTTGATTGCCCCAGCAAAAAGTAGATGTAGGGTAACAAAATTGAACCAGATGAACCAGTCTGGTTTGTGTCAGTGTGTACATGATGATTGAAATACCTCAGGCTGAGGCAGGTAGGGCATTACCTGAACAGAAACACACACCCACACGCATACACTCGCACACACTCAGGTATGAATAATTTAGGGTGTTGTCTGATCCAGTTCCAGGGAATTGGGTGTGACAGGTGTACAAAAACCACAAAGCAGAGTTGACTGTAGTCCAAACCATATTTGGAAAGTGTAAGAAACTGACCTGCATGCTAAAATAATGCTTAATGCAAAGCTTGGCTCTTTTGTCAATCCTAACCGACATGTACATATTGAAATATAGATTTTAGAGACGTGAAATATTAACTTGCAGATACTTTTACTCACACCCCCTGGGAAAAAAAAAACTGTTTCGGTCTCATCCGTTTATATAAAGAGAAATTCATATATGCAGCAATACATGAAAGATCTGCTCACGTCTGACTTGATGTGCTCTATTATTTCCTTGTTATTACAGCGGCCATGTTCACACGGTGTCACAGTGAAAGGGCTGTTAAGAGTGTGTTATGTGCAGCAAGTAGACAGCTGTACCCTCCCCCCCTCTCTCTTTCTCTGTCTTCATATCAGTTTGAGCTTCCCTTGTGGAATGTGTTCTAATGAGTTCATGCTGTTAAGTGGTGAGAGTGAGACGCAACAGACACTGAGGACACATTGCACAACACTATAGCTCATTTATTCCTAGAAATATGTCCTTACATTTGTAAACAGGGTATGAACTAATCATCACACACACACACACACACACATAGCATACAACATATAGCATCGGAATAGCATATAATTAATGCAATAAGCAGTCACTGCTTCCATTGTGCTTTGCTAAATGAATACACAGTTTGGTTTTAGAAGTTTGGTGAGAACACTTTATTTTACAAGTCTATTAGCTTCAGTATAAAGTTAAAAAAAAAAAAATGTCATGGTAGTACAACAAAAAATATAAAAGAGTGTTGTAAAAACAACTTTGTTAGTAATATTTTGCCCATTAAATAGGAATAGAGAAAACTATATTGCTCACTCAAGGTGGAACATCTAATGCGTGCACCTAGAACATCAAGAGGAAGTAACAATCTAAACATCGCCCACCATTGTGATGTGGACTAACTTTAAAGGCCTCCAGTTGTGCCTTTTTGAGCCAGAAGAGACCATAATTGGGCTACAGGGTGGCTACCCATTGCTATATCTCTTATTGCATGTCACAGTTGTAGTGACTTGTCAATAGAGAGGTAGCCACAACCCTTCAGCAGACATGTTAATATTTAGGATATTTCTATTTATGGGACCTCTATTTGCAAAATCATATAGTATTGAAGAACACTTGAAACTAGTCAGTGAGACCATGTACTCATCAGCGAACAGTTTACTGAAGTAATGAATGATATCAGAAGAAGGGAAACAGACTTCTTTCAACCAGTGGAGTCTGCTCATGCTACTTGTTCAAAGAATGCAGGTTTAGCTTCAAATCCTCTTTAGTTTGGTTTATAGAAACTATCTATTTAAAAATATTTTTTTAAAACGTATAAAACAATAAGTGTAGAAGTCTCTGGAGCATGCAATGTAATAAGCCGACATCTGTCACTAAATGAAACACAGACAAACATAGAGGCAGACACTACTTTTGTCACCTCAGCTCTTCTGACACCAGTATACCAGTAAAGACACTGAGATCACTATATTTAAATGAGCTTTAGTAAGACCAGAAACTTTGAAAGAGTTTGACTTTGAAAGAATTTCTCCATGTTTTCTTGTCACTAATGTGGTTCGTTTTGTTTTGTGTTTGGACTCCAGCTTGGGCTCAGGCTGTGGCTGCTCTGATGATCATCGGCCTCCTCATCCTCATCATCGCCTTCATCATCTCCTGTGTGGCTCTGTGCTGCTCGCTCAACATCAGCATGCTGCCCGTCATTGGAGCGCTGTTGATCATTGTCGGTAAGAAATACACACACGTACACACACGTTCGGCATGTTTGAACACTGCTCGGAGCTCGCCGCAGAGTCAGGTGAAGTCTGCAGTAGCAGAGAATAAATCAGAGCCTTACAGCTACACCCTCAAAGAATCAAACTTAAAGCAGACAAAGGGAAAGTGGTTTCCAAAAGCAACCTGTTTCAGTTTTAGTTTTTCTAGAGAATAAAGTGTTAAGCAGTCAAAGATGAACTCAATATGGTGTTTAAGATTTACTAACACTGATAACCAAGATGCCTCCAGTCCTACAGTGCATGATATTTTATCCTCTGAGAACATGTTGACGCTTGCGTTGGTAAGACTTCTCATAGTTTCACTGCAGTTTCATTGAGCAGCCTCAAGGCAACTGAAAATAATAACAGGTACATATTTTCTCACTTAACCCTGGCAGCATAAGGCTAACTTTTTAAGAAATAATCACCTCATTCATTCTTACTGTAGAAATAGTTCCTGAACAGCGAGGCCTGAGGATAACACTGAGTGTATACAAGACAATAGTTTTAGATAGGAAAAAGTGATTTTGAATTATTGGAATATAACAGAATAGAACAACAACATTCAAGTCTTTAGCCAGAAATGACCGGGCAAACACCTCGAAATCAAAACTTCTACAGTGTTTGATACAGCTAGAAAGTTTGTGCACAGTGATGATATGATAACCGGGTTCCTGTACTTATATCAAAAATGAATCCCTTATTTTGAAGAATTTAAATACATTTTTATTAAGACGTTCTTAAGTGTTACATGTTCTTGAAAAAACAAGAAGCAGTACAAAGAAGTTTGCCAGAATAAAAAAGTTTTAAATTTACATTATTATGATTTAATTTACCAAATATCTATACCTATAACTTTCTCCAATTTAAAGTTTCAGTACTTGTAGTAAGCAATATGAGTTGACACCCCAGTTCTAGTGTCAAATGAGAACGCTTTGGTGATTTTATTACCTTGTGACTCTCTGTGAAGCACAGTCCGATGGTGGCTAGGCATTTGGTGATTGTTGGTACGACACAGTCCCAACCACTGTCCACTATAAGGGTTTTAAAATACCAGGTGGAAGGATGTTATTGCATTTTCCCTACTTAAAGGGATTTAATTTAGTCAGACAAATACAGGTTAAATGTGCTTATAAGGCCCTTAAAAGAATAGGTGTACTGTTTAGAAAAGGTGTGTGTCAGGGTTTCAGTCACATAGAAAATGAGACATCAATGCAGAGACACAAAGATGAGTGTGTGTAAAACAAGTGAAAGCAGAACCAGAAATTCAAACTCTGACTTTGAATGAAAAGTGGGAGGTGATGAACAACCTTAATCCCCAGGAAAGAGTTTGAACACGGTGAAGTTAAAAAGTTTGAAGAAAAAAGTAGAGGGAGTCTAAGTGAAAGGGAACGGAGGAGGCAGAGAGTGAGTTAGACTTTATCTTTGTGGGGAGGCATTGGTGAGCCTTAAGTGTGATGTTACCATGGGAACAGCTGGTTTGGTCTGTTTGTGTAATTGACTCACACAACAGAGAAAGTCAGAAAACATGGGACAGAGCCAAACACACACACACACACACACACACACACACACACACACACACACACACACACACACACACACCTTGTCGTAGAACAGGCGTACTGGAGGTCGGTTTAAAATGTGCCTGAGAGAGTTTTAATCTATTTAACATTTCTGTTGAGTAAAAGTTGGCACTTGTCGCCCACAGTTGGCACCAAATGACCTTTTGTACCAGCCTTAGAGGATGATAACAGTTTCACCCTGTAGTTTTTACATCAACAGTTATTAAAAAATAAATCCTGGTTCTTTGATCTGTGGATTAACAAATCATCCCAGATGACTGTACTGTATTTATTAACCTAATCTGGTTTCACTTCACTCTTATTAGTTTAATGAAAGGACTTTTTTCTGCGACGTATTGATTTAATTTTCAATTGATGTATTTTATTAAGTCATCAAGCGACAGTGTGCAATGACATTAATCATTTATACAAGGAGAAATGAAAAGATGGGAGCACCATATTTAGCGAGTCGTTCATTTCCATCTGTAGTCCCTCGTAAAAATGACACAAGGCCAACTATAAAAACTCCACTTGGAGGCCTAACACCATAAATAACAGGAGGACAATAATACACAATGCATGATATGAGGGGCAATATAATCCTACATATAATAGCTACATTATAGAGATACTAATGCAGGTTGCTTACTCAATAAAACCCTTAAGTACGCTGCACAGTAGAAGCTGCAATATGAGGGAGAGGGACACAGCAATTACATTTAAAAGTAACCAAGATGCTAGTACAGTTTATTTACTTCATAAAGTATAAACTGCTGAAATATAAAGTGCTATATAAAACATGTGACAATATTTAAAGTGGCCAAAGTAGCCCAAACATCTATCCAGGATCAGTGCTGACAAGACTGATAAAAAACGTCTTCAGCTTCTTAGTTGATGAAATCAGAATAGAAGTTTATTGTAAACTGTGTCCATTAGCATTAGCTAACGTTATTTGTGGCTTAATCATTACAATAAAAATATCTAATGTAAATATAATTTAAAAATACATTATAATGCAATAGGTAATGTGATAAATAAAACTTCAATAAATAACCTTTTTCTTGAACATGAATTACATCAGAATTTTAGTTGTTTAAAGAAACCCCAACGATCACACTCTACTTCATGTCATCAAAATACTTTTTTATTATTATCTTTTATTGAGAGGCCGCTGGTGACAGAAATTATACTGTGCATTTAAGAAGTTTTGACATTTTACTGAACTAGACTGCTATATATTCTCGTGTCCCGTCTGTTTGAATGTGAAGTATTTGTAGCTGATGGGCTACAGCCATGTCAGTTTGGTCATTTTAGTCCTCTCAGCTGACATGCTGTGGACTTCACAATCCCAGAGAAAGTTTCTTAAACTTAAATTCAGAAATGATCAGGCAGTGTCTTCTAATGGATTTCAAACCCAGCGTCTGTAACTAATAGAGGAGTATTATGTTAGGCTGATGATCACAGCTGACTCACTGCCTGCCCTGCCTTAGTTACTGGGCGTTAAGGGTAACGCAAAATGAATTACACAGAAATTGTTCAGCAGAACAAAACAGTGTCACACCTATATCCAGAGTCTGCGTCTGGAAATGGTAACTGACAACAATCAACCAGCACTGAGTTTCAGGAACAGATCGGATCTCGGTCTGCAGATACTGACTCACCTCTATCTAACAGATGTCGATATGATAGTGTAACTTTAACACGCTCATGGGAACTTTTCTTTCACACAGTTGTGTTAGTGTCAGTGTCTTCTGTTCATCCAGCTGACTATAAGACCCAAGTCATGTTTCATTCTGCTCTTCCCCCATCTTATATAGTAACCTATTCACTGAGGGGGGACTTTTTACTTCCATGTTCAATGTTTTCACCTTTTTTTGTCTCTCGACAGTGGTTCTACAGATCATCGCTCTGATCATCTACCCAGTCAAGTTCAACGAGATGATCTTTGAGGGCAACTACTTCTACACCTGGGCGTACGGCTTCGGCTGGGGCGCCACCATCCTTTGCATTGGCTGTGCAATCCTCTTCTGCTGCCTGCCGCGCTACGAGGACGAGCTGAGCGGCATGGCCAAGACCAAATACATCTACACCTCTGCTTAAAGACAAAAGAAAACCTACACCCACACACACACACACACACACACACACACACACACACACACACACAGTTACATTTTCCACTCGTCACTCTGAGCTGGATCTGCGCTAGCCATTGGACATTTTTACCCTGCACCGTTTCACCAAAGATCCAAGAGTGGTATTTGAAATAGAGGTTTCATTCTCTTTGAAAGTGGACTGTGATTGGATGTTGCATCTGCTTTTATATAACAACCTCTACTGTGTTTAAGGTTAAGTCAGCTATAAAAAAAAAAATGTTTTAACCATGGTATTTTGGACATTCTCCATTTTGGTGAAAACATATTCCTTATTTTGTTTTAACCAATGCAAGATCACCTAAGTGCTCTTAACCGTAGTGGTGTAATTATGTGTAAAACTTGCTTTAGCCTGATTGACTTTTAGAACTCCTTTCAACTTTGACACTAACATTTTTGCATAAGATGCAAAAGAAACGACTATTTGTCGTTTAGATTTGTGTCCTGTGTTTTATTATAAGTTTTTCTTTCATTCATGAGTGTGTCTTTTTTTTTCTCTTTGTTGCTTTGCGTGAGTTAAGAAGAAAGCTTAGGCTCAGAAGCTGAATGTAACCTGTATACATATGAAAATATACATGTAGTTTAAGACTCATGTTTGCACCTTTTGTGGGCTTTATTGATCATTCTGACGTGCGCTTTGTCTCTTGAAGTTTTTTTTTTTTTTGACTAAATACCAAAATGGGAATTAGTGTGGGAGTGTGCTTTCCGGGCTTTGCATCTGTCCTGAACACAAATAATGAAAATTTAATTTGAGATTAGAGCAGAGGGTGATATTTTTTTGAATTGACATTGGAGCAGTTGTTGCTTTGATGGCCCTCTAAACAGGAAACAATTAAAATGAGATTTCAAAGAGATTGATACTTAATTCTTTTCAGAAATGACATGGATATTTTTTTTTATATTGAAACTTAAGATTTCCTGACAATTTCCCTTCAAGCGGACAGTCATTGTAGAACATATGGTTGAAGTGGTCATCATATATAGAAATCTGCAGCAATCTTACAACAAAAAAAGGTCCAACTCATGTAAGCGTCCTTGTTTAATACTGATGCCAAATTGTCATTATTTTTGGTTAAAAGGGAATAATGTAAATTCTGAAACTTGTTCTGCTTTTTTTTCTCGTATTTGCATCGAAGAAGTTATATTTAGAGAGTGTGTTCAGAGAGATTAAAGACTTGAAGCTGTTTTCATTCACAGACAGATGACCAATCATGTATTCTTTTCGAAGCCTTTTTGAAGTTTGTGAAAGTGATCACTTCTGAAAACCATCTGCTGGTTTGATAAGACACTGAGACCAATCTTCTGACATACTGTGTGATAATCCTGTGCCTTAGCTTCTTCTAGTGTTCTGATGCTGAATCCTTAACGACCTATCAAACTGGTCGTTCTGGTTTTTGCTGACTAACGCTTAATTCCAGGCATCTGTTGCGTCTATATTCATGTCCAAACAAGACCAATTAATTTTCTTTATTGATGGAGTTCCAAGAAAACACGGAAAACCCAAACTTCAGATTTGTTATCTAACCTTGGTGTGTTTCCAGTTGATTTTCAAACAATGTGCTGCGTAAATAAGTACTGGAATTGTCTCAATGATGGGGTGAAAACTTTTAAAATGTGCTCTTCACAGCAAGAAGATGTAGAGGATTCTATTTTATTACATTCATCCACTTCTGGAAATCACCCAGCTGTTCTTCTGCTGTAGTATGAATTGAATATTTTTGCTAGTCTGTGTATTTTTTATCAATAAAAAGTTTTGTTTTTCCGAAGTGGATTCATTTTCTGACTCGTTTTTACAAAGTAGTGGCCATGTTTATTTTCTGAAGAGCGAGTAGAAGCAGAAGCAGCAGGAGAAATTCAGTGTTAGGAGTCTTGTCCATGGGACACATCGGACGTGTTACTGTAGGAGCTGGGGATTGAACCCTCTGCCTTCTGGTTGAGAGACGATGACTCCAACTGAGCCACAGCCGCCCCCCCCCCATTAACTATTTCAGTTAATACTTTTTTCATTATACGGTCGGGCCGAACCTTTGGGGATGAAGATTATTACATTCTCAAGATTCCCAGCAGCAGATACATTTACCAAAAAAAACCTAATATACTACTATATTACTTAATATGAAACTGTATCCAAATCTGAATGTAAGATGAAGCCTTTCTACATTTTAAAAGGCCACTGAGTTCTATACCAAAATTAAGTTGTATCCAGTTATTTGTCATGGGGGGGGGGTGGGTGTTTTCACCTAACATGCACAATTGCTTCCACAAAGATGAGTCATGATTTATGACTTGCACACACACCCAGAGAGTCTCACCCAGGACAAGCCTGGGTGATAATCAGACTTTGCTCAGCATGTGCTGACAGCTCTGGTTTCTCTGTGAGAGGGGTGGAGACAAAAAGAGCGCCCGAGAGAGAAAATGACAAGAGGGTGAGAAATACAGGGAGAAGGAGAGGAGGGAATTTCAGGGGAAGGCTGAGCAAGGCAGGGAGGGAGGGAGGGAGGGAGGGAGGGTAACTGGTGTACAGTCAAATGAGGAAACAAAACAGGAAGAAGATAGAGAAACAAAAGATAAAAGTGGATACTCTATTGTTCAGATCCTTGCTCTGCCCTGTCTGGTTTAATTCTACAGTCAAACACAGGGAAGAAAACCACTGATATATTCTCTATAAAGCTTGACATGTTCAAACATGAAGCACCTCGAGCAACTACAGTTATACAATATTTCACACTGCTACAGACTGGGTAAGAAAAATGTCTGTGGAGGAAATATTTAGCAGAGATAAGTTAGGTTTATTTACAGTCTTGACATTGTATTTCATCAAACTATACAGTAATTAACAGGACTTTTACAATACAACTTGATGTAACATTTAGGTGCCGCTTCATCATGTAAAAAATATCACAGCACAAATGCTTTGATCTAAAGGATACTGAAGCAGGAGGAAGCATGTCCTTCATTGAAAACTTAAGAAGTATGAGGTGATAATGAACTGAAAGAACAGCATGTTTTTGAGCCTTTCCTACAAACAGAACTTATCAATCATTATTTTATTATATAGATGAATCAGTGCATATGAAGTATCACATCCTGCTGTTGTTGTTGAACTTCAGTATTTGATCCTGTTTTTCTAGACTTAGCGAGATCTCAAAAAAAGTAATAGAATTCACAAGGCAACACATACATGACGCCTCGCATCCCCTCAACTATCGGGTATTACATTTTTAATGAAAAATTTTACATTTTAAAGAATTTTAAAGTTTCTCAGGCATGACTTAGTGCAAGAACAATACACTGATTACTGTAACACAATTAATATTTTTATATACTGATTTTCCCCAATGGGGGATCAATAAAATTTATCTTATCTTATTTTAATATTTTTACCTTCATGATGTCTGAGTTCAAACATTTTTATTTTATTTGTGTTGAAAAGTGTTGTGATGATAAAAAATGTTTTCATGAATTTATCAAGTTTTTGTCTCTTCAATTAAAATAATCTTTGTTGGTCTACTTGTTTAATTTTTTAAAGATTATAAATGCAAACAATGACTCTTAAGTTCATACAAATACGTCAAAACCCAAATGCAAACCAACAACAGGTAAGGTGTTAAAAGGAATTGTACTATTTTGCAGGGTTGGGGTGTCCAGGACTGGGGGGTGAGGAAGTGAGCTTTTTAGAAGTGTCTGGTGGGCTTTGTAGGCAGTGAGGTGGCTTGGCAGAAGAAGGTTTTGTTGTGTAGATGTTGTTAGTGTATGTTTTGTTTCCTAACAGAAACATTGTCTCTGTCTCCTGCCCAGGGACTACAGATGTAAATTAGCTTATAGCTAACTCTGGTAGGCTAATAGGCTGTAGACTGTCCCTGTCAAAATAAACAAACAAATAAATAAATAAAGGTCCTGGAGACAAGAAAGCATGTAGGTTTTTTTCAGAAACAGGGATGTTAATTTTCACTTTAACACCATTTCCCTAAACTGCAGAGATACATATCATTTTATAGAATTTAAGAGAGTGTCTCCCTAGAGATAAAAAAAAGTATTTCTGATTTTGATGTTTTCAAGAGAAATACATTCTTCTAAATTCATTCTTTGATTGATCTATTGCTGCATTGACACATCTGATGGAATAATAATCTATCAAAATGATAAACATTTGGATTTTTTTAACACTGATTCACAACTTTTTTTATGTGGGGAAAAAAGATTTAACAGTTTGTAATTTTTACTCTCTGAGTTTTTTTCCTCCTCTTTTTCCTGTGATGCTGTATTTGTGCCACTAGAGGTCAGGCTTGTTCATCAAATCAGCCTCTTTGGCTCTTTCCTTCTTGCACCTGTCCAGCCAACATTGTCTTCTCTTTGTTTCAGGTTAACTTTTAGAGGTATCTGTTAATGAGTGTCTCCACCGAAAAAAAATACACTATAATCAAACAAAGTAAAGTCCTTACCCCTACTCAAACCTTTGCTAAGTGATCTTCAGTGTAGGTGGGTTTCTGTTCTGCCTCCGAGGTGCTTTCCACAGAGAAGAGGAGCCAGAAGAACGTTGAGATGCTCCCTTTCACAGTTCTCCGCAGGGTTCTCCCCGCTCCTCTGCCAGCTCATACCAGGACGGGTCCCCAAGGCTTTTGGGGCCCTGATGGAAATTATCTGTGTTCAGAAGTCACTGTGAGGGACGGGCCACACTGTCAGAACATAAGAGACGTATGACTCTGGAGGACGTCTACAGGTATGGAGCTTATAGATTTATGTTAAGAACCTGGATGTTAATGTCTGCGATTATCATAACCCCCGCCCCTCTCCCAGCAGAACCAGGAAAGGTGCAAACACGAGGCACAGCAGCCTTCTTATACATTCACTATTCATATTTTACAATTACACATGTTTTGCTGTTAAACTTTAAAAATGTGTCAATTTGATGTGCATCAATATAGAAGTGGTAGAGGACTTAATATACCCGAGATTCAAATTGATTCTTTCACCGTGTATGTTGTGAAAGACGTGACACTGAAAGACACTTCATCACTTTGGATTTTTTAGGGTTACTCACATCGACCCACCTGGTGATCTGGAACAACGCAGTGGGCTATTGTTTGTTCTGGGGTTTCCAGAGTGCTGATGACTTTGTTGTTTTTCTTGTATCACTTCCAAAACCAGCCCCTATTGATCATCCCAAAACACTGATTCAGCTAAATGACCCACAGAGCCTGTAAAAAGCTTGAAAAGTTAGATCAGCATAGTTGTTTGTCAGTCATTTACAATCAAGGAAACAAGCTGTTTAAATAGGTCAGAATAAGATCATGTTCTTTTAGAGTAAATTCTCAGTTCTGGTCCTTCTTGAAATAAGTAGAGGTGAACCTGTGCGCACTTTTCAAAGGCAACACTGACTCATTGAGATCATTCCTCATGAATCCATGCGGGCAGGTGATTAGTACACTTTCTGTTCCCCTCATGAGTAGGTAGAAAAGGAACCGTAGTTTCCAGAGCGGTGGGCACAACACAATCCAAGGAGTCTTTCCACATGCAGGGAAGAGAAAGGAAAATAGAAAGTGAGGCGTGAATCAGCAGAAGCTTGTTGGTTTAAGTTAGATAACAACAAGAAGATAAGAACATGTTTTTGTGACAGTTTGTTAATCTGGATATTTGAAAAAGGTTTACATTTTAACCCAATCCTATGGAGTTAAACTCAACCAGTTGTCGGTAGATCCAAATCATGGAGTTCAATTTTTAAATAATGATGATTAGAAATGTAATGATATGGATGTGTCTGTGTTTCCCCTAGGTTTACAGCGTTGGGGGGGTGGGGACAAGCCGACATGCCAACATGGCGACACAAACACTTGAAGGAATCTTGGTGTTCATGTGTTACTTTTAATGACAGATGTCCTTTTCTATCGGAAAGGTATCCTTAAATGACTTCTTTCCCTGATTTCTGACTCTATCCACTATCCTATCCCTACAATAAAGGAAAATAAAGCCCAAAAATAAATTAAATAATAAAATTAATAAAAAAAATGTTTTACTTGACCTTCAAGGGGGGCGGGGGTGGCCGTTGTGACCATTATATTGGGGTGGGGGGGCGCCCCCCCAATATAATGGTAGGGGAAACACTGGAAGTGGTTGAACAATCTACAGCCAAAATGTCATTCTCAAGCTCAGTCATTTATCAAACAAAATAACAATCACTGTGTTTGAGGAGTGTCTCCAAATTTGAATCATTGCTCAGTGAAAAACCGATCAAACAATATGAAGACATGAGTATGGAGTGAATTTAGAAACTTTGTTAAGGTTGTCAAAATATTGTTCCTTAAATAGACTACTATTCGATACCATGCATTTTAAAAAATACAGTCTCTTTTAGGTTACGGCATTATTTAACTTTTTGTTTCCCATTTTATACATTTTAATTGTCTTAAACCGTCTAACACAAAAAAAATATCTCAGTGTTGAACTGTTTTTTTTCTGTCTTCTGTATGGGTTATATTAAATAAGCCTGTCAAAATAATAAATTAACATAACTATTAAAATAACAATCCAGTTATCCAGCATTGTAGCTGAAAACCCACATTTAAACGTCTGTTTTCCAACACCAACATACTTTCCTAACAGTCAAAACAGCATCATCATCACCATCATCACAATACCCAGACTCAGCCCTGCATCCACAAATACACACATGCATACATTTAGTCAGCAAGTCAAAGTCTAGCGGCATATAATATAAGTGATGAGTTTTTCTTTTCATTCTCCTGACTAATTTGCTGAGGGCAGACTCATAGCTGGACAATGATTTATTTCTGAGACTGTCTCAGGGTATGACGCGACCCGTCTGTCTCCCTCAATGACGCTCCTTTGTGCACAGTAGGTGGGATGTGCTTTTCAGTATTGAGTCAGACAGATAGAGCTCCCTCTGTCGGCTGGGAGCTGCAAATACACAGGTTGTCACTGAGAGAGAGAGAGAGAGAGAGAGAGAGAGAGAGAGAGAGAGAGAGAGAGAGGAAAATGGGTGGACGGAAAGTCCCCGTGTGGAAATCCCCTTGACTCGGGCTTTTTCTTTTTTTGTTCTTCTTCTAAACTATCGCTTGCGGACGTCTGTACTCTTTTGAAAGGCTTCGCAAGCTGCGATGACTCAAAATTAGCTCTGATAGTGAAGGAAAGAGGAGGTTGAATGGCGCCGAGCACCGCTGCGGTGAGGCTGAGTGAAGTGGCTGAGAGAGGACTAGCCTGAGCATCCGGGAGGGCTTTGTTATTACCCCGACATATTACACAGGTAAGACACCCGTCCTCCTTCCCTTGGCCTCCCCCAGCATGTGGACAGTCAAAAAAAGAGGACTGAGACTTGTTGGGCACATCACGTTTGGGCCTTGAGTAATGTATGGTCGTGTTTCTAGGGGGGACATGGAGGAAGCTTGAAGCCTGCTCACGACAGTGGCTTTGACAGCCATTGTTTACAAAGACGTCACCCTCGAGCGCATAACAGGACATTTCTACGGCTAAATGTGGCATTTGCGGCGCCACGCCAAGTCGATACCCGCGCTTTGAGATGCTATTGAAGACTACATTGTTGCAAAGGTAGTTGTCATTGGAATTACGTAAGCCTTTAACGTCAGCAAAGTATCCTGTTATTGTGTTATTGTGTAGCCAGTAAGCCTTCACCGCCGCGTCCACCTTTGAGCCCCAGTCTGACAGCATTATTAAAAGTCTTCCAGCGGTGCCAACACAACAACACAAAACAGTGACGACTGACAACGTTGTCAATGTTCAATGTTGTCAATGTCTACCAATCCTTCTCATGTAGCCTTTAGCATGGCCTAGCCTGTTGTTGCACCTGCTGCTGCTTGTTTTTGGTAGTAGAGACAGACAGGCCACTGTTAGTGAAGTGTTTAGGTGTTGTAATTGTGAACTTCAACAGTAACTGGCAGCTTGCAAGAGGATGTTGTCTGAAGTTAAAAACTCAGCAAAACTCCAGGCCTCACTTGCTGACCATTACTTTTCTACTTCATGTGAGCTGTGAATGTGCTGACACATTTACTGTGAAATACTTATTCTAATCCTTATGAGTTGCAGTAACCCTACTACAGTGCTATGCTTAAATTGCCAGTAACCTTAAAGACTTGAAAGTAGAGTAGCCTACTAAACAAAGTGTGAAAGTTAGCATCCAATGTTAAGAAACATTTTTAGCAATTGTTTGCTGAAAGTTTCCTGAAAATAGTTTTCTTACTGATTTTAGGTTGTATTAAAAAAAAAAAAAGGTAAAACTGTTGTACTGCTGTTGGAAAGTTTAAACACTTGGTTGGATTACTTACTACAGCATGACGAAATGATTCGCACTTTCATTGGTGTCTGAACATTTCCAGCAATTCCTTGGCGTCCTGTTTTTTCAAACCAAGACTTTGGTGTATTGGTTTGTTAAGGAGTTTCAAGGAGGCCTATTGGGCAGTCAGTGTGACCTTCCCAGCAGACTAGGTGGCCTTCAGTTCCAGTTTGGAAATCACCAGGTTTTTTTTTATAGGTAGACTTTGAACTCAGAGGGACCAAGAAAATCAAAAACCAAGAAAAAAAAAAAGCAGAATTACAAGAACAAACAAAAATACAAAGGGTTGCTTATGTAGTTGTGTGTAGTTTTATTGCATTTAGCCAACTAGAATGATCCTGGGTGCTAGGTGGTTTCCCCTAGACAAACCGTAAATTAAATTTAATAAGGAAGGGGATGCTTCACTGAAAATTTCCCACTGGACCTTACACTGTTGTTTTACTCTGAAGTAACATCCATGTCTCTTCTCTCCATCCAGATACCACGTTGTTCGGCTGGTGGTTGGTGCCTCCTCCTCCTCCTTTCCTTCTCCTTGTTCCTCCTCCTCCCCTCCTTCCATCCATCAGGCCACCATCATGTCACAGGGTCAGAACTTCCTCCCTAAATTCCTGTTTGTCTCCAACCTGCTGAAGGCGGTGAAGATCCGACAGCGTGTGCCCAACGATGTGGTGAAGCCGGCTGCCAGTGGCGGCCTGATGCACCACCTGCGGGGGATGCACAGGTACACGCTGGAGATGATTGCCATGAACCACTTCCCACAGGCCTTCAGGGAAGTGGTTCAGGCCGCCATCCTGGACCGTGCCATGCAGGCCTCACTGGAGCAGGAGAAGAAGCTGAACTGGTGTCGAGAAGTGAAGAAGATGGTGCCGCTACGGACCAATGGTGGGGAAAAAGTTTGTTAATATTTTGGGATTTTTGTGAAATCTTCAGAGTTGAGTGTCTGGATGATTTTGGTGAGGTCTTTGGATGTTTCATTACATGTTGGTAGGTTCAATGAGCAGTTTGTGATATTCTGGATCGATTTGAATTGATTCTCTTTAATCATAAGGTTTATATTAATACAAACAGGAACAATTCATCACATTTGTTTCATAAATGATGTCAAACTGTTGTTGATTGGTCTCAGAAAATGTAGCGATCTTTGCTGCTCAAGGCAGAGGACATGCTCTACATGATTTAATTTTCTATGATAAAAGAGGAGGTGTGTATTTATGACTCAAGGCTACTTGATATGTAAAATCAATCTGAGATGTCATTACTCACAGGCAGGATTACTGTAAATGAACAACATTGGAGGGACACAGCTTTCACAAACACTCATTTCGCAGCCCCCTTGAGCTTTAATGATCTGAGTGTTTGCTAAGTCATGTTTTCTGTTATGTGGATGTTGTAATACGGGAACATCCCGTAGTATGCAAACATTTAATCATGATTACATCTGATCATAGCCCTGTACTGGGAAATTCTCAAACATCACATGTAGGACTGTTATTTACTGTTAATGATGTGTTAAACTGGAGTATTTCCACAGGTTTTAATTTATAACCTATGGGGTGTGTCCCCCTTTTTCTGTGTGGGACTGTGTGTGTGTGTGTTTCTGACGTGTGTTTCTTTACCTATAGTTTCAAACCACAGGTTTTTGTCACTTTCTTCTCTGTCAGTCAGAGCCAAGTTCAGTTAGATTCGACTAAATCAAGCTGTGTTTTATTGTCCTTATTGTAGGGCCCTTTGGATTTAAATAGTCATAACCTATACACATCTGGTGTGTACATAAATGCTATTTTAAGATGAGGGTAAAGAAAGAGAAGAGAATCATCAGCTGTGCCTTTCAAAACAGAAGAAGGAAGCGGAAATTAAGCTGCGTTAAAAGTTTGCCGTAAACATTGGAAACAGTTTTTGTATCTGTCGCAGGAAGTGATCAAAACTTCACAGTGAGAACTTCCTCAGCATGGCCGTAATCTGACTATTTACTGCATGTGGAACTTGTGGGATTTTCATATGTTGTTAACAACTAATGGAGTTACAGTCATTACCGTCAACCCTTAGTTCCTCTTTAGAAAGACCCCTGATCTGACACCGAACACATCTGACTTCTCGCTAGTAACCTGGATGGAATTTCCTGGTTTGTGAAGATGATGTCATAGAGATGAGACAGATTTTAAAGCTGGAGCGTCTAACACTGAAAGACCCAGACGTGACTTTGAGCAGAGGACGGACCACACACACGCGCACGCACACACACACACACACACGCACACACCCACACATACACACACATACAGGACTGACTGACTGCTGCTGAGTCACTGCAGCAATGTATGTACAGGGGGAGAACATGAGATAGCAGAGGTCCGTCAGTGAACATCCATCCAGAGCTGGTGATAATAATCAAGCTTACAGTTATAAGATCAGTCTGCGACTTAAATGTACCCATTTGAACATTCAAACCACTGAAATAGGACTGTGAAGCAGTTTCACCTCTTACAACACCTCATCTCTTTACTTCCTTTCGCCTCTTTCCAACATTATCCTGCTGTTTTTTTCTTCTTCTCTTATCCTACTGTCAACTTCTCTTTGACCAAGTAACTCACTTTCCCGTTGCCCTCATTCATCATGTTACAAATTGCACCGCGAGGAGTCATGAAGTAGTGATGCGATGAGTCAAATTGCCATGGAAATCTGATTAGTGCAATGAATTTTCATATATTGACGGACTGAAACTTTCCCATCTTAACTTCTTCACAAAAAAAAAAAAGCGCTTCCCAATTATTCAATCCATCTCATGTTTCATGCAACGTTTCCATCAAGTGAAGAGCTCTGTTTTTGAAATTCAGAGCTTCTTCTGTCTTGAATGTCTAGGATGCATCCAAGGGTTTTTCCCAAACAGTATCCCATGTCTGTCATGTGTCCCCAACAGGCAGGATTTGTTCAGCTACAGTACTCTGACTCTACATACTCTAGTAGAAATGAGGACACACACACACACACACACACACACTGACACTGTGTTCTTGCTTTATAAATACAGATTTCAGGTTTCTCTTTGTAATGTGGCATCTGTTTATCTGCTCAAAAAAAAAACATGCTGTGTTTGTGTAATACGTCCAGTTCTCATCAAAGAAAAAGGCAGAAATAGTCTTGGCCTGGACTTTTTTTTATATATATATTGGAATGGTCTTAATGGACAGCTTGAATACAAAGAGTGGGCTTATTAATGACGCTTGAATCAAAAACACAACATGGCAAACTTGTGTGAAAACTGTCACCTGGATGGCAACCAGATCAGGATTAAGCGTGGTCGTACACTGGTGCATTTTTCAGGAAGTGTCCCAGCTTGCCACAGAGGAAGTATCTATATTTAGACAGATGGTACCAGCAGACCGTCTTTCATCTTTAGTCATCAGGCAGCTAAATTCAGGGTCAAACGTCTGTGTGTGTTTTAGGGCACAAGAGGAACTGATCATGCATATGAGTTTGGCTGTTTGTTCCATTTTTTATATGACTGTGTACATAACTCTTTTGATGATACTTTTCTTACTTGACTTGAGAGCTATGCATTTGATGTTTTTTTTTTGTTTTTTATTTTATAAATTCAGAGTGATGCAAGATTGCCTATGGAAAGACACTTAACGCCTGTTGTAACTCATTTTACAGTTTATATACTGCAGGCTAACATTTGCTTAATTTTGATTCCAATAACTTAGCTGTTGTCATATTAACAGCAGTCTGTCTGCTTCGGGTGCGTGTGAATTGTTGCCCAGATAAACAGTACTTAACAGAGAAGGACAGATCTTGGAGAAAGACAGTACATTTGTATACCTGTGAGAGCGCACGTTATCTTAGCACTCATTAATCACAGCCTTGATCCGCTCTTGATAGCAGTTGTTATAGAAATAACATTCCATCCTGTCCAAGCCCCGCCCCTGTGGAAAGTCCAGGACCAGCTGAGTAGTAATGATGAGTAGGGATCATTGCAGGGGAACACACAAGTGCACAAAAGGCAGAAGAAGTAAGCGGAGGGAAATTCCTGTGTTTAGTGTGGTAACTGGGTTTTTCACTGCTACACACATTGACAAACATGGGCTCTTCTGTTTCTCAATGAGAAAAACACCCTGTGCTACCATTGGAGACCAAATAAAATTCCAGGATTTAAGTAATTCATGGTCTTGTAAATGCACACAAATGCCTTTTGAGAGGCTTTTTTTTTTGCTGTTGATCAGAATATAGAGGAAGTAATTTCCCTTGACAAAAAACTTTGTTATATATGTTTGTGTTAAAATATATGTTTCATGTAAATTAAAGTTTATTTATCTCAGGCACACTGGGTTAAAGCTAAGCTGTGTCTGTAGCTTGTGTGCACTTTCACACATGTGAATGTCATATTATAGTCTAGACACCAGATAGTGCAACAACTGACCTGGCGGCGTGGAATTCCCCATGCTTTTCTTTATGCCTGTGTGAGCACAGACTGAAATTGTCCGTTGAGCATGCTGTGTTCACGGCCAAGTGTGCCTGTGTGTGTATGCTCTCTCTACACTATTCAAAAAGTTTGGCTTCCTTGTGCAAAATCATTTATGTTATGTGCTAATATGATATCCCCCCCCCTCCCCCTCTGTGTGTGCCTATAGGAGATGGGAACTGTTTGCTCCATGCAGCCTCTCAATACATGCTGGGCGTTCAGGACACAGACCTGGTGCTTCGAAAAGCCCTCCATGGTGTTTTGAAAGAGACAGACACTGGCGTCTTTCAGGCTCGTTTCCAAGCAGAGCTGCTCCAGTCCCAGGAGTTCACCCAGACCGGACTACGATACACCACCATGGTATGAAGTTAGACTAGTTGGAATAGTTAAAAAAAAAATAGAGTATCAGATTATATTCTTAAAGGATTAAGGGTATCTTTATATCCGGAGGGGAAATTTGGTTTACAGCCAGCAGTACCACACAATCCATCACACAAACATTAAAGAGACATACAAATAAAATACAAAGGCCATTAGAAAACACAGTAAATTAAATTAAAAGTAACAGTAAATACATTTCATAAATAAACATCACATTGAACTATTGACTATATAACACTAATGGCAGTCAGGACGAAGTTCTGTAATCTGTTTGTCCTGCTTGTTGATAGGATGTATGGGCAGCAAGATGAGAGCAGCAAGAATTCCTCAAAGACTGGATGATATGGTTCTTCCAGCCTTTTTGACAGTCCTGAGTTTGAAAAAAATTAGTCAAGTCACTCAGATTTCACAGCTTACGACAGAAGTAATGTACATTCTTTGATGAACTTTCCTGCAGACAGCATCCACCTGAGGATAAAAAGCCAACTTGTCGTCCATAATTGTGTGATGGCAGTGGGAGTCTCTCTGATATCCATTTCCTTAGTTCTGGATACATTGATATCTAAACGGATGACTTGCACCAGTGCAAAAAATCAGTTGAAATAGGGACATGATCATCAGTTGAGCAGTGACACCATCGCAGAGTCATCAGCAAATGTTATGACATGCTGACTCTGAAAGTCTTAGGTGTATAAAGTGAGTAAAAGCAGAGAAAGGACACATCACTGTGGTGATACAGGAGAAGAAAGGATCAAATCAGATATTTATGGTCAGAATCAGATCCTTGTCTTATTTTAATTACTACATTTTATTGGGTTATTTTGAGTTTGTCACATACGTGCAGAAGTTTATATCTCAATTTTGATGTTTCATTTTAGGGCTTTTTGCCTTTCTTTAGCGATAAAACAAAGGATAGAGTTAAAGAGCTGGGAGAGAGATAGTGGGAAATGTCATGCGGGGAATATGTGCCACAGTTCGGATACCACCTGGGCTACTCACTCCTGTGAACCTTAGCCTATGTAGATGGGGCGTGCTAACTGCTAGGCTAACAGCGGCTCATATCCAAACTTTTAATTTGTGTGTTTGAATGTGTGTTTCAAGAACTGGGAGGATGAGTGGGAAAAGATTGTGAAGATGGCGTCTCCGGTCTCCAGTAGCAACGGCCTCCAGTTTGACTCCTTGGAGGACATTCACATCTTCGTCCTCTCCAACATTCTCCGCAGACCCATCATTGTCATCGCAGGTACCCGCTTTTTATCACCTAAAAGTCCGTTAAAGACGGAGCTGGACTTTTTTTTTTAACATCTATTGCAGTGAAAGAGAAGGTGAAGGTATCTCAACAACTCACCTTAACTATCTGCAGTTAGTGAGTTGTGATGAATTGTTTCTTGTCTTTTTGATTTTTGATTCAATAACTAATTGTTGTTATGAATGTAGAAACTCACAGTTTAAGTGACGTTGTGTCAATATACACTTTATGAAAGAGCAAAATATATTTAAAAAGGTGAGCACACATTTCTCAAGTGCTTTGAGGTTCTTCCCAATCACTGGTGTCTTTGTATTGGTGTTCTGACATACATTTTTCTAGTATTATTCAAATAAATACTTAAATTAATTACCTCCACTACGACCTGAACTTTTATTCATTGCAAGATAATGTGAACATGCTTAACCCTAAATAAAAAGTATATGTGAAAACATATCTTAATTGTTCTTGAAAAATGATTTTGTTTTAAATGAGTAGTAACTCTAATACCGCTGTTCTTTTTACAGACCAGGTGGTCAGGAGTATGAAATCTGGCTCCTCCATCTCTCCTCTGAATGTTGGTGGGATTTATCTGCCGCTACACTGGCCGCCCACAGAGTGCTACAAATATCCAATCGTGCTTGGCTACGACTCCCAGCACTTTGCACCCCTCATAACCATCAAAGACAGTGGTCCAGGTAGGAATCACTAAGAGATGAGTGTTTTGCAGCTGACACGACAAAGTAAGGAGGAAATAGCCTTGATATAAACACTCATTCTTCTTTTTGTATGTAACGTCTCTTTCTGATTTTCACAGAGATAAGAGCTGTACCACTTATAAACCCGGGACGGGGGGCTTTTGAGGAGCTGAAGGTTCACTTCTTGATGGAGAAAGAACAGCAGCAGAAGGAGAGGCTTCTCAAAGACTACTTGCTACTGATAGAGATCCCTGTCATAGGCTTGGGCTACGATGCCACACGGATCATTAATGCTGCACGGTACCTATAAACTCTGTTTATTCAAAATGAACTGTATGTTGTTATATATTACATTTAGCTTGTTATGTTGCAACACAAGAATAAAAAGGTAAATGTTTAGGGGGATAATCTAAAAACTTAAATTTAAAAACCAAAAGAAAGTGCAGCTACTTGGAGATCCTCATTTTATGTGTCCGTCCCCAGGCTTGATGAGGGAAACCTCCCAGAGGACATGAACCTGATGGAGGACTACCTGCAGCTTGTCAACCATGAGTATCAGCGCTGGCAGGAGGACAAGGAGCAGGCATGGGCAGCCCAGCCACAGCGCCCACCGCCCTTCTCCGTCTCCCAGCTCTCCCTCATCGAGATACGCTGTGCTACACCGCGATGCACCTTTTATGTCTCTGTGGACACGCAGCCTCATTGCCATGAATGTTTTGAGAAGCGACAAGCCACTACTGGAGGAGGAGCGAGGATAGAAGGTGTGATCCAAACCAAGGGAGGAGGGGTACAAGGTGGGGTTGGAGTGATAGGGGGATCAGAGACAGAGGTGAGCTCCAGAGGAGTGCAAAGCAGCAGCCCCCCATCCTCCTCGTCTGGGAGAGGGGTAGCATTATCCAGCCCCCGCTCAGCCCCACCCACTGCTCCCAGCCTCAGCCTGTACAGTGAAACTCATGCCATGAAGTGCAAGACACCTGGCTGCCTCTTCACCCTCAGCGTGGAACATGACGGACTCTGTGAGCGCTGCTTCAACTCCAGGCAGAACCATGGACCCCCTGGAGCTGGAACAGCTGTAACAGGACTACCAGGCCCCAATGGGGGCCCTACAGTCCCCCACCCAGGCCAGGGCTCCGGCTGGACGCAGTGGCCGGGCCGGGAGACAGAGACAGAGCGCTGTAACATGTGCAGACAGGAGGCGTTCAGGGTATTTAATGGCCTATGTCCACCCTGCATGCAGAGACAGCAGGCTCCAGACAGGGGAGAGCCACAGCAGAACAACCCCAGAACTGAGGCCTCATCGTCAGCTTGGACCCAGGCCAGGGATGCCGAGCGGCCATGTCTCACCCTAACTCCGGGTCACACCTCAGCCTGGCAAACCCCTCTGGCCCGGCCTTGTAAAAGATCTGGCTGCCAATTCTTTGGGACGCCAGAGAAGTTGGGTTTCTGCACTATTTGCTACGTAGACTATCAGACAAACCACCGTAAGTTCTTACCCTAAACTGAAAAGGTCACCATGTCTTTTTAGAAAGTGAAATAATCTTTTCAAGGCTTTCAAACAAGTCTTTGTAAAAGTATGTAATGTATAAATGTAGGAATTATAATTTGATTTCTATTTTTCTTCATGTAAAATTCGATCTCACATTCGCCCGTTGTTCCAGACTTGACCCCTCCGCCTCCTCCAGTCCAGACCCGGCACGGTGTGGAGGCAGGCTTCCAGAACGCCACCCGGTGTCGTGGACCTGGCTGTGGTGCGGTTGGAAAGGCGATGCTTGAGGGCTATTGCGACAAGTGCTATGTCAAGGAGCAAAGTACAAGGCTAAACCAGGTGGCAAATCGCACACCACACTCCCCTCCTCTGGTCGTGGTAGGTGCCTGCCACACCTTAAGTCCTTCTTCCTTGTTGTTATTTGTTGTTAGTGTTATCTCCCGTTCTTCTCAAATCGTACACTATCCTGATATCTACAGTTATCTTTCAGTTCACTGACCTTTCTCGTCTTTCTTTTTCCAACCCCTTCTCTTATTCTGCCCTAAAAGCGTGACCGAGCAGTCAAACCCAGATCTTCGCAGCAATCCCAGACCCAGACCCAGACTCAGTGCCGGCGCAGTGGCTGCAGTAATGTGTCTCCGGGTTGCACAGACCTCTGCCCAGAGTGCCACACACGTGGCCAGGGCAGAGAGGCGGGCAGGCGGGCGCAGGCGCCAAAGGAAAAGTCCAAGCAGCGATGCCGGACGCAGGGCTGTGACCATTACGCCAACCAAGAAAAACAGGGCTACTGCAACGAGTGTGACCACTTCAAACAGATTTATCGCGGCTGACCACATACGCACCCACGCACGCAACAACGGTGATGACACATCGCTAGCACGCTAGAGCTGCTGCCCTGCTGTGGGCGCCAAATGCCAGTCAATGCACCTCTGATACTAACTAACCAACTAACTAACTAGCTAGTGACTAACTAGCAACCTTATGGCCTGAAAATCAAACCCCCCATGTAGAATGTGAAGAGAGAGTGTATGTACATGGGGGGTGGGGTGGGTGGGGGGTGGGGGTGTGTGTGTGTGTGTTCACAGTAGACATGGCCTCCAGAATACCTCTTTGTGCAATTATTATCATCTGCTGTGCCCAGTGCACTTATACAGTGAGAGGATTGGCTACATGTCAGAGCAACTGACTTAACGCTTGTGTACAATATGTATTTAGAGGTACGTATTGAATCGTGCCGGACATAATGATTGTATGTTGACATAAGAAGCATCTGACATTGCTTTCTAGACCACAGCCAAGGATTTTTGCCCCGTCTGTTTGTCCGTCTTAACCCATCTGTGTACCTGTCTGCCTGTCTGTCTAGCAGTGCTCTGTAGAGTGAGGGGATGAAGGAGTTAGACAGGACCAGAAACCAATCTATGGAAGTACAAGTGAGCTAAACTGGGCCAAAGCAAAGAAAGTGATTTTTTTAATCTTACTTGTCCTCCTCCAAAAATAAACAAAGTCTTGCCAAAAAGGCTGTTACAATCAATATTGTATAATAAACAAGTATTCATTTCTTCCATTATTCAGTCAATGGCAGTGTTAATATTTTGAGCCAAATTATCCTTACTATTTTTATCTACCTTTTATATGAAGATGATCTGGTGAATTGCTAGATATGGAAAGGGAGACCATGTATCTCGAAAGTGCGAGACAGACAGGGCAGGCCCCTGCTAGTTTTGGTGCTACATGTACAGAAATACAAGCCTCTCCATTGTAGCCAACATGCTGGCGGTCTCAGCGGACAGAAGGCAGAGAACACAGTGGAGACAGGACTCATTCTCTTTCTATTCTCTTTCCTTCCTTTTATCCCCCTCTTCTCCTCCAAAATAGATCTGTTGCCTTGGACATTGCTTTCCCGTTTACTGACCACTTAAGCACCTAGAAATGCATAGATACACAAACCTATACATACTCACACAAATGTAGAAGCTCCAGTTTTGTCCGGGATTGCCAACTCTATAGTGAACTGAGACCATGTTGAAGCAAGAAGTCTGGATGAGTATCCACCTTACCACCACATGCACACACATGCACACACATGCACACACATGCACACACATGCACATGCAAACACAGCTCTGTAAGATTGTACGCACCCCACCCCAGTCTGAGGTGATGTGTATGTAAACAAACCTGTAGAGAAGTGCATTCCTCTCTGCCCCACCCAACTGGATGTGCCAAGGCGACAATTTTGAAAACTTCTAAGAGCAATCCCATTGCCTGCTTTGGCTAATCTTGTTTATCTGAATGTGTTTTGTGCTGCTGCTACAACAGCACACTATTGGGGCTGATCCTCGATAAGTTTTGCCTTTAAGTAGTGATTGAAATTTTATGGACCAGAGGGGCCTGATCATGGATCAGTGCCCCCACCTGTAAAATGCTTATGTGAATATGGATCTTGGTCCATATCACAGGACCTTCCAACCCGATGCCTCATCTGCAACACACACACACATACACACACACAATGCACGCAAGCGTGCATCTGGAATACGCAAAACTGACATTCCTGTTTTTTTCTATATATTTTGAGATTTTTTAATGTATTTTGATATATTTGGTTTTGTTTTTGCCAAAAATTACATGTGCCATCTATCGCCAGACAGTTGTTGTTACCTCCTTAAAAATGGCCAGCCTGGACCATTCTGAACTAACTAGACTGCCGCAGGTAGACATCTCCCATGAGACAACTTGTAGTCAGTGTCACCTCAGACTACAAGTTGTCTCATGCTGAACATTTCCAAATGAGCACTTTCTCTTCGGGGGAACCTGTGTTATTCAAATATAAAAATATATTTATCTGCCGAGATAACCCCAAGCCTAAAACTTCAATCAAACAAACTTGAATGTGATATCAACGGAATGGGTTATCCCCTTTACTTCTGCTGAAGAACTCCCCCTATGTGTAAGCAGATGTCCATCTGTGGCTCTAGTTGGAGAAGCATAGACAAACAGGCTCTTGGTCTGCCTTTTCATTCAACTGTATCTAAAGCTGTCAGGCCGGCCTGCGTGTTGACGGCCTGTAAGTAGATCTCTGTGTGCTTTAATCACCTCTAGACAAACCTTAATCAATTAAAGGCTAATAAGTGGTCGGCTCATCATGACCTCTTAAGGTTTCGGGGCGTTGGCTGAGTTTGACTGGGGAGAGATCACATAAGTTGCACATGACTTGTCTAAGCTGCTGAGGCATTTAGGAATGGTACTCCGACTCGCTTAGGGACATTCCAACAGTAGGATAAACCGTCTGTTTGAGATCAGAAGGTGTAACAAAACATGCAAACTGTGTGGAAGTTTCTTTGTGTGATCTTTCAACATTAGGGTATTGTATGAAAAAAGCCTGGTTTTATTTGTTAAGTATTTATTCATATCAAGATATCTGTATTGTGTGATTCAATAATTATTTATATGTCGTCCTGAAATGAATTATTTTTATTAAGAAATCTGAAATCAGTCTCCTGTGGTTCTTGCTCTCTAGTTATCCTACTTCTGTGCTTGTGAATGCGTGTGTATTTGTATTTACTGTATGCTTGTGTGTGCTCTTTGAGATTTCAACATTGCACTCTTATTACAGCATCTGTCACTATGATGCCATGTGTTGCCTAATAGTGTTTCTGCTGTTAAACCGGTCAATGCACCGCAAATCCATCTCCTATGTAGGAAATACAGTGGGTGCTGCAAAAGTCATCAGATAAACGGATCACTGAGGCCTGCTTTATATGCGACATATGCACCATTTTATCATCTTTAAGTAGGTTAGCTTGTTTTCTCTTCTTTTCTCCGCCTACGTTTTTTTTTTTTTCTTTTTTTTTTTTACACATTAACAAAAACTTCATATGCTGAGGTTTTTTCTTTGGTGGTTTCTGTAATTTTTTGGTTCTTTACAGGCTTGAGGGGTGGATGATCAGTAGGAGGGGAGAGTTTAGAGTGAGGGGATATATGGCAGTGACAGAGGGGAGATCGGTCATAATTCTATACAGGGCAGAGGTGACATTTAACAAATGTGGGACTGCAGTGGAGTGCGTGGGCTTTCTCATCAACCTACACCTTCTACCACAGTCAGATTGTTAGCCTGATGTGGTTTCCTGGAAATACCCCTGCGTGCAAACAGCCCCTTGTATAACTGCTCCTTTGCAGACAGGTGCTGGTGCTGTTGCGCTTGATAACAGCGCTGATGCCTTCTCATGTGAAGCCTTTAAAGAAGCGTTTGGCATCATACTGTCAGAAAAAAAAATCACAATACAGAAACAGTGCAAGATCATCTAAGGAAAAATCAAACTAATGTTTCGTCTTAAAACAGGACATTCAAAAATAACTTAATTTAAAAAATTCAGTCTACTTGGAGTAAGATTTAGACTTAACAGGTTAAAACTTCAATGACAATCGGGTAATAAAGAACAGCTAAATTTTCTTTTTAAAGATTTGCTGTTCTTAATGAAGCTGTTTTGTACTATCTCTTAGAAGAAGATAAAGAAAAGGATTACGCTGCTTATTATCAGAATCACATGCTATGAGTGTATTATCACAAGACAAGTATGCAAATAAACAATAATCCATAATACAGAAAGGAGGCCCTTACCTAATACTTAAACTTTACAATAACATTTAAATGATCTTAACATAAAATCAGATGTTGAGCAAGGATTAAGGTCAATATTTTACACATTTTTTATAGTTGTTAGAGAAGAGTTAAAAGGCAGTTAAAAGGCAAAAATTAAACTCTTGACTCCACAACAACTTTCTGTGCATTGTGTAAATGAAGGCTTGTAGTTCTGAATCTGGAACAATACTTCAGGAACATGAAGTAGCTTTTCATTCGATTTTCTGTTTTCATAATATCATGAAAAATAACTCAACTCACAACATGAATCCTGAGTCCAATATAAACTCAAAAATACTAAGATGAAACGAGGCAGCTCTAAAATACAAGGTCCTGAAAGTTAAAATATAATTAAAATTTGTTTATAAAAGATTTCCATTGCAGTGAGGAACACAAGGAGAATAACCCCTTCATACTGCAGTTCAACTCTCTGTGGCGTTTCAGTGTCTTTAAGCTCACCATTTTGATTCTTACACATTTAAAAGCTAAACAGGTATCAGTGTTTTGTTTGCAGCTTGTTTTCACTCTTCCCAAGAAATCAAGTCAAATAATCACTAAATTAATCAAAATCAAAGTTAAAAGAAAAAAAAGAAAAGAACTGAAGTCGCTAAATTGGAGAAGGCGATGCTTTTGAGGATTTTAGATGTCAATGCAAGAAGAAAGAGAAAAAATAGAAAATCTTCCAAAAAAAAAAGTTTTTCAAGGCAAAAAAAAGACCCAATACTTATTTGGTATCCATATGACCCATAACTCTGTGTTTGAGCTGTTAAAAATACACATTCAATGAAAATGTCAAACCTAGATCTCAGCACAGTGTAGGTTTATGAATGAACCCACCAGAGTCTGACTCACCACCTCTTCTGTTGAAAAACGTGTGTCGCAAAAATGAAAAGTACAGCCATGGCTCATTCAGCAGGAAGTAATCTGTTGTTGTGAAATAGGAAGAGGGTGTATCCATGGTTACCTTTTGTTTGACCCTTTTGTAAGCAGCTGCCAACATAGATCTGAGATACACTCATCCTCTGAACAGAAAACACTGAATAACTCTGTCATTCAAAAAACTCCCCAAGAGTCTTTGTCATTTTTGACTGGAACTGTTGCACAGTGTGTACTTGTAGTGAACCTGTTTAAGAGGAAAAATCTCAAACTAAATCTACTTTATATCGAGTATTTTCTTGTTTATACATGAACTCTGTTTCTCGTTACACACTACAGTATAGAAATTATCAACTCATCTAATTTAATAATGGTGACCCCTTATAGTTTTACGAAATCCACAATATTTTGAAATCAAACTATGTTTTAACTGATGACCACTGTGTTCATTATATTCTCAGTCACTTATTTACATCTTAAGTGCCCTTATATATTTACAATTACTTCCTAGTGGGTATTAAATTCTTTATTAACAAATTATAAACTGTGCCTAAATAGGACTCTGTCTGCAGTTTCACAAAACATCTCCTATTTAGGAACGACAAACTTTTTCTGAGTAATACCACAAGCAATCATCTAGTTGTTAGCAATCAGATCATTGTGTGAAATTCTGTGCACACATGGCGGATTGCTGTTCAAAGATGACTCACTGACCTGCTAAAATAGGAAAAGAGAAATGAAAGTCCTGGCCAAGCAGATCACAGCACACTGGTGCAAAACAGCTAGGACATCAAGTGATCTGTAAACCCATAGCTACAGGACTCTGACATATCTTTGTTTGTGGTCATCACACACATCTCTGTTTTAGCAGCCAGATATATTGCATTTTTATTTTTGTATGTGCTACAATCTATTTTTTGCTGAAGCAATAACTTCCCCATTAAAGTCAGTAATGTTTATCTTGAACTAAATGAAACTCAATAACTCCCAGTACATTTCGATGCAAATACTCAAGTACATTTTCTTTGAATGCAGGGATTGTTCTTGTTATAGAGTATTTGTGGTATAACTCAGGTTAAGTATAAGATCAGGCCCATAAAAAAATGTTGTCAGTTGCTTCAACAACCGCATAAGCAGATAACATTTTATCATGGACTGGGATGTTTCGTAAGCTTAACTTGAACTTGCATTTTCTTTGCCCTGCCTCAGATAAGAGGATTGGTGAGAACAAACTGAGGGGTCAATGCTGGTTGATATTCCTTGATATGTTGGGTAAACATGCCACTCTTTCAAGTGCATTTATAATTCAGCCAGGGTTTTAATTATAACATATTTTTTAGATGAGCTTAAAAATAAACATGAAGCATAAAAATGAAAATGTTCATGTTAGTGAGGCAATATCAGGAACACGTTTTTGTGTTAGCATCATTGACATCTTTTAAAACACTTCTTAAATCTCACTTTTATAGACTTGATTATATGTGATGTCATCCTCTTATTTTTTTTACTTTTTCTAGCATCTTTTTATTTTCACCATGTGTACAACAGCCAATACTTTGAAATAAACATGCAAACACAACTGTACACTGGGCATCACCAAACTCTCAAAAAGACTACGGCAAAAAATACACATGAATAAACAAATAAAAACATTAAATTAAATTGAATTAAATTAAATTAAATCAAATACAAATCAGGCACCTACTGCCCATTTTCAGTTCATAAAAATATAATGAAAACAAACATACATGTACAAAAACCTGAATTGACAGAGAGAGAGCGTTGATGCATAAATGTTCCTTCTCAAATCTTTGACAGTTTGGTGAATATCAATATATTTTTATTCTTTAATAGTGTTAGAGTCGATACATACATTTAAAATTAGTTACCTTAATTTTGTTACTTGTAAGTTTTTTTGACAATTATTTTTATTACTTTCATACTTTCCATCAGTCAAACTGACAAATTTTTATCAACCAAAATAATACCATAACACTTTTCAAGAGTGAAATCAGGATCATGAGATATTTACCTTTATATCCCAAGTGTCAGGAAGGGGGATTGGGACGCAAGTGCGGACCCAGGGGTGTCTCAAAGTTATCCCAGAAGGATAACCACAAACTCGCAATAGCAATAGATTGGAAAGGGGGGAAGAAACAACAAAACTGTTTAGAGCCACAACAGGCTTCCTAACCTAAATAAGGCACTGAAAAGGATTAAATAAACCACTGCTGCCAAGTAGCTGACTCAAATACAAAATTGTCCAGGAGACCCAGAAAACACGAAACAAAAAGCAAAGGCTGCCAGGGAGACCTTTGATAACAGGAGTAGGACTGGAGTAGACACGAAACTATCCAGCACCCCAAGTTAAACACTGGGAGACCGGCAACGGAAACCTTATGTAGAAAGTTCTTAGTTGGTGTTTATACGTAGATACACACAACCACTTGAGAAACCACAGGGAGAACCACTCACTACCTCTGAAGGTGAGATAATGAGTCAGCACAGAGCACTGGAGACTCAGGGTATATGAAAACTCCCCACACCTTAATCAAAGCCAATCAGTGCCACACACACCTGATTGCAATGAGTTGATTCTCTCACCACTCTCACTGAGCAGAAAGAGTGAGTGCCCTCACACCAAGACACAACAGAGAAAACACATAAAATAAAACAAAAAATATATATATTAAAACAAAAAAATATATATTAAAACAAACAAAACATGTATATATAAAACATATAATACGTTTTTTAATCTAAAATCATCCCCAGATGTTTTCTCCAAACCTTAATGAATGACAGAAAATTGCGTTTGGATAATATTTCATAGAATTCCACAAATTTTACCTTTAGTTTTTAATGAGCACAGCTATACATCTTCTACTTGAGACAAATAAAACTTCAACTTATTTTTCATTTTTCATTGATAAGTGCAAGGACAGAATTTTGAATTTGATATTAGAAGAAATCTGCATTAGGATTATTTTACTGTTTTTAATTCAATGAATGAGATGCAGTTGTCTTGTTGCCATTTCATGATTTATTTTTTAAATTGCTTCTTATTTCTTTTATATCATTTTTGCTTTATCTCCTTTTTTTAAATCCCTTTTTCGATTTTTTTTCTTTTTTTCTTTCTCATTTATTTGTTTCAAAATAGCTGTTTATTGTTTTTTACTTCTTCCTGCTTATTTATTTGACTGCTTTTAATTACTTCTACCCGTTCTCCTCTGTAAATTAGACTATATAATTGCACGTATTCACCATTAAGTGGCTGACGTGAAACTGAAGATGACTACAACTCCCAGCATCTCGCTGGTTAACGGAAGCGGCGATCTTTGGCAGATGGTTGCCTCGTTTGATAATCGCGTTGCACACCGACTGAAGACCGAGACGGGCGGTCATATAGGCTACAGTTTAAATTCAGGTCGTAAAAAAAAAAGAACACCGCCCTCCGGGAAGTGCAGTGACGTCGAGTTAACGTAACGTATTACTGTTGACGACCAACCACCGTGTCGACGTGCGAGTTGTCATGGTTGTTTTGTGGCTGTTGAACATAGCTTAGCATAGTTAGTTTATAATAAAGCGGGATTTAACGTGTCCTACACATCAATGAAACCTCTTGACTCAGACGAGGAGGAAGAGGAGCAGCTGGGTGCTTATCATAAGGAGCTGAGACGTACGTTAATGTTCTACACTGCTACATTTGCTAACTAGAGAGTCACGCATACAATGGATAAACGTGTAATATAAATGCGAGGTTCAACTTTGATGTTTTCAAAGTACTTGAGTTTTAACCATTTGAGTTGTGTCTTTGAATCTGGGATACCCAAGAGGAAAGGGCAGGACATGTCACTTCCACCTGTTGCTCAGTCAGCCTGTCCTGCAAATGAATCCTGATAGGCTACTTCTTCAGAATAAGTCATTCTTTGGTGTCAAACTCAAATGTCAGATTGCTGACACAACTCATAATCTCTGACGTATTTCCAAAAGCAAAAGCCAGAACAGTTTTCCTGTACTTGAAGCCAACTGCATGACTTCAGAAGTGACATTAAACACACCTTTTTCACATCACACGTTTAGTTTTTTTTCTTATAATAATAATAATAATAATAATAATAATAATAACTTTATTTATATAGCACCTTTTAAAAACACAGGTTTACAAAGTGCTTTGACAAACAGCAAGAACAAAGCAAACTAAACCAAACACAGAAAAACATTAACAACAGTAAGAATATAACAGATGCAAAACACCAAAAATAATTAAATACAATTCAACAGAAAAGAACCCAAAGTGCACGATACACAACCAGTCACCTAATACACCTGTGCTTCCTTCACAGTGTCTTGCCATGATACCGGCTTTGAATTAAAAATAATAATTGAACAGGCATTTTGATTTGTGTTAATTGTGTTTTTGCCTGCACAAAGCTGATATCGATTTGATGTTAATTATTTGATAACTTCTGCATTAATAATATTAGAGAATGAAATATAATATGAAATATATTTGATTAATATTTACAGTCTATGGTCTCCACTAATTCAGTTTTATTAATTTGTTGTTTTTGGAAAAGTTGGTTGTCCAATCTTTTAATTGTTTAATTTAGCAAAAATCAACGTCCTGCATCTTTATCTGTCATGGGCCGCAGCAATAATATATACTGTTGGACACTGGTGTCTTATCTGTGTTGCTTTCAGAGCGAGCCAACCAGAGCATACAGCAGCTAAGCAGTACTTTAGATCAGCTGTCACCCGATGGAGAAGAGGTGGAAGGACCCAGAGGCAGCGATGGCAAAGTCTTCACCGCCATGTCCGAAGACGAAAAGGTTGCATGGAGCCAAAAGACACAGAGTGAAGCAGGTGACTTAGCAACAAAGCTGTTTGACTTCTGTCTGAAAAAGATTATGTATTGCAGTACCTGAGGATTTCCTTACTCATTATCTTGTCCTATGTAAAATGCTCATGTTGTGTGTGTGTGTGTGTGTGTCCGTGTCATTTGCAATTTTTAGTTAATCAGCTGAAGAGCATCTTACTGAAGCAGTGCAAAGATAGTCCTTCTTCTCTCTCACCTTCAAAGAAACATTCTCCATCCAAGGTAGAGCATGCAAGCCAATATTTGGCTAAATATAAAGTAGACCTACATTTTTTATGATATCATTCATTTGCCTCTCATTCTGCTGCTTTTTGCCACATTTTTAATTATCACTCTACTTTCTTCTGTTAGAGGACACAGCAGGAAGGAAGGGGCAGTTTACCTGCCTTTCAGGATCTGGTCCCAATTCACAACCAGTCAGAGTACATCCAGCACCTGGAAGCTGAGGTCAAATTCTGCCAGGTATGTAAGCAAATTAACGTGTGTCTGTGTGTTCTTGTATTGATTTTTATTTATTTATGTGGGGCTGATTTGGATAGATTTGAAATATTTCCTCATCTAACTTTAGGAGGAGCTGCAGGGTCTGAAACAGCGGATCAGAGTGGTGGTGGTGGAGAATGAGAAGTTGCATTCAGAACTCAAATCCAAAGCTGTGAATGATTCTCTGAAAGACTATACCATTAGAAACGCCACGGTAATGTCTGTGTGTGAATATCAGATGTTTTGAGTTGTATTGGTTGTGGTACTGTTTGTAATGTATATACATTTGAACAATTCTACAATTCACTTAGCGGACGCTTTTATCCAAAGCGACATTTAACATCATACATTAGGATAAAGAGCATTATTCATGTATAATGAATTGATAGGACAGCTGCCGAGAGACAGGGAATGTGGGAAGGAGAGAGTGGAGCAGAAATGCATCATAGGGCCAAGACTGGGAGTCGAAACATTGGTCGAGCTAGAGCCCCTGAAAAAGGGGCACCTGCTCTACAGACTGACCTAAAACTGCACCCTAAAACTTACATTGTTTAAATGAATGATCTTCTTGGGAAAAGTGGCTCAGAATCTGTCCTGATGTGTTCTTTAGATGAACGAGAGTTTGGCAGCCAATACAGCCCACAGTGTGCTGCAGAAAGCAGAACACACCACATTGAAAAACGAACTGGTAAGGATGATGGATTTGTTCTCTCCTCTACTCTTGTTACTGCCCCCTTCTCCTCCTCCATCTCCAATCCTCATGGTTCAAAGCAGCCATCACATTTTTTCAACATCATAGGTTTTTGTGTTGTGTGTTTCTAGACAAGAAAAGCTAGACTGATTCTCTGTAGAAAATATGAAATAGTTTTTGTTTTTCGGTTGTTAAAGGAATACCATTTGGATCATAATGTACTATGCATTTAGCTGCAGTTTACTTCCAGTGAAATACTGATATTTTAAGATGCAAAAAAACCACCAAACCAAAAGCAATGTATACATGAATGTCTCCAACATATTTTTATGGAAAACTGTACTGATTCACTGTTTTTCTAAAGTTCTTACCCTGTTGTTAAATGTATTTGTTCACCAGGAACAATTGAAAGTGATCTACCAGGCCCAGATTGAGAGCTTAGAGGCTCAAGTCATCTCCCTCAGGTCAGTGTCACTACCATCTTTTTTTAAACTCAATTTTATGCGTCAGCATGAGAAGAGCAATGCTTCTTTCCCTCCCTGACCCATTTTCTCTGTTTTTTTTTTCATTTCCATCTTTTGCTTCCATCCTCAGGAAGGATCTGTCGATCAGTCAGAAGGAGTGTGAAGAGGTCAGGGTTCGTCTGAGACACAGGGAGAAACAGGCTGCAGATAAACAGAGATCTGACAGGGCCCCACATGTTGAAGGACTGTGTCTGAAATGTGCACAGCATGAGGCTGTGTTGGCTGGGACTCACACAAATCTGCATTTCCAGGCTATTGACAGGCTCACAAAGTTAGTGATAATATTAACATGTACCCAAATACTTTCACTTTTAAAACCAAGTTAGCCACAGTATTCCTGGTGATATAAAAATAATTACCTTCATGTGATTTTTACACTTGTCGTGCACTCTCTTGTTTGTCAAACTCTTAGGGAGCGTGATGAGTTACTGGTGGCTCTGCGGACCGTGCGGGCTAGTCAGCAGGAGGCGCAACAGAGGGAGTGGTCAGCCTGTCTCCAGGTCAAACAGGCTGTGGAGATGGCGGAAGAAGCAAATCTGTACAAAGCTAGGGTAAGAGAAGCCTTTATACACACCATTCTTCTATTTGCTTAAAATAATATATTTACATTATTTCCACTTGTACATTTTGTTTACACTTCATACTGTGACCTGTTACCTCCTGCACACCCTTTTTTATCTGTCTGTATGCATGCAGGTGGAGGTGCAGTATCAGCAAATTTCAAGGGAGCTCGCTCGCCAGAGGGAACAACGAGAAGAAGAAGCACAGGCTTTGCAGAAGAGACTGGCTGAGGCCAGAGAGGAGGGTCGAGCTGAGGCTCGTAAACAGAAAGAGGAGCTGGCGCATACAGTAAATGATATTATACATATGATGATGATACATCATAATGATACAGTTTGATTTAATCCCTTTCTTAATGTGTAGAGAACTTTTGTATATGTATTTAGATACAGCATTGTACTTAAATGGTGTTTGAGAAAACCATGATTATCGTTCAGAAGTAAAACGTTGATATTACTTTACTTTACGTTGATATTGACATTGTTTCATGAATAGTGGCAGTTCTATTAGAAGCCTTTTAAAGAGTCTGATGTTAGTGATTCAATTTTAGAATCTAAATGCCAAAATAAAACTTGCTTGTGGGTCTGTTCTTTCAGTTGTCCAGCCTCTCCCAGCAAGTTGCGGAGTTGGAAAGCCAGCTCGACAGAGCTCAAAGAGATAAGAGCTCGCTGACCAATCAGCTGGAAGATACTCTTCATAAACTAACCAGTCAGGAACAGGACAATACTAAGGTATACTGTTGCCATTGTGCTACCAAATCTTTCTTTTTTTTTACTCATTGTTGCTTAAGTTACCTTAAGCAATTTGAATAAACATAGTTCAATACAACTTGTTAATAAGGCTTTTTATGGTCTGCATCTTTTAATTGCAATGCATTTTTTAAGCCACTAGATGGCAGCAAAGGTTAATCTATTTATGCTACGGTAAATTCAACATAACTTCCATTTCCCCACATACACCCATAGATTTACAACATAATATTATTTAAACTTGTATAATTCTCTTGAATTGAACATGAAACTCAGTTATTTAATTTAAAGTTAAGTAGTGACAATTTTGCCCTGTAGTCAGCAAAGTTGTGCATGTCCTGCTTAAGTGTCTTGACCACACAGTATTAATAACTTACTGATGATAGTTGGGCCCTGATGTTTGATACATATTGAGGGAAATGACCAAACACATTTTCAGTGTCCCAGAGTCACAACATTTAAATAAGTGGTGTTTTTTTACTTGCTCCAATAAAAAATAAAAAAAAGCACATAGAATAGAAACTTAAATTACTTTCAGTTCTAATATAGATAGTAGAATAGTATTTTATTCACTTATTTGAGTGCTTTCAGGAGGAAGGTGTTACTCATATACTGTATTTAGATCATTCAAATATTAAGTGAATAGCACAGTCTGACTACATTTAAATACCTGCCAAGATAAGGAAAGGGAAAGGTGATAAAAAATATGTTCTCATGGTGAAGGAAAAGGGAAAAGACAGAATTAACTTTTGGTTTATCAAAGGACTTTCTGTTTTTAATTGTTGCTCATCATCTTTAGGTGTGTGTGGATCTACGTTATCTGCTCAGCCAAGCCCAGCTGAAGAAAGAGGAGACAGAGAGAGAACTCAGAGAGATCAAAACCAAGACCAGCAGACAAATGGAAAAGGCTGCACAGGTACAGTATATCAGCTTTACATCCATTGGTTAGTGTCAATTTTTCAGATCCATTGGACTATATCAGTTGTTTTCTTAGATAGCGAGTTGTACTGTCAGAAAAGTATTTTTTCTTAGGATCCCCATTAGCACCAGCTTGTGCATTATTCTTCCTGGGTTCCAAACCACATACAATCATACTTACTTATACACAAATCATTTAGTGGGAAGTCAGAATTTTGTACTGAAGTTTAAGAAATAAAATCAAGAACTCCTAAAATATTTTTTTATCATTAACAGTTCGACCAAGCATCAGTTGTCTGATAAAAATAGTAAGTAAATATGCTGTGCAATAGAGAAAGACATCACAGTTACACTTTTAAATTACACACGGTCTGTAGAGTGCCTCATAAATTGTTTTCAGACTTGCACTCCTTAAAATTTCTAGAAAAATTTGGACAGCTTGTCGCTGAAATCTTCCTGTGTGTTCACACATATCCTTCAAAGCGGGAGACTTTAATGTCAGACGGAGTTAGTTTCTCTAAGCGCATAAGGTGGGTTGTTTTGAAAGATTTCCTCACCTCCTCTTCGCTCTCTCTGACCATCTCTGCGGGACAGGAAGTGGAAAGGCTGAGCTCAGAGCTGGTTGGCTGTCAGAGGCATCTGGAGGCTGTCCAAAAGGACGGGAGCCAATGGCAGGCTGAAGTCCTGAGCCTAGCAGAACAGCTGGCAAATGCCCAGCGCCAACTGCACCTCACCAGGTAGTACCTAATCCTATTATACATGCCACCACACTCACATGTACACACACATGAACACACACACACAGCACTCCCCTCTGCCCAGCTCCTGCCCAGCTCAGCCCAGTCCTGTCCAGTTCAGACCAGCACACCAACTGTACCGCACCAGGTAACACCTAATCCTATTATACAAACCACACACACACATAAACACACATAAACACACATGCGCACCGCTGTGCCATGGTCCCGGTACCAACTGGACCTCACCAGGTCACCTCTAATCCTGTTAAGCATGCCACAACATAATGCAACAAACACACTAGCACACTTACACACACAAACACAGTGCCTGGTCTTTGCCACCAGGCCAGTGCCCAGCCCAGCAACAGCTCCAGCAGAGCCAAAATGACGCCAGAGCCCTTCTTCTGTCACACACACACACACACACATATATAAAAGGGTGGCTGATGGTCACTGGACAGCCTGGCCTCGGTGCCACCTGCCAGTGCCCTGCACCCCTTCTCACGACAGGCGCTACCGGCTACCCTCCCTCCTACCTCCATATTCTTTCCTTTTCATTCTATGTCTGCATCTTTCCATCTTTTCCTCTCAGTTTTCTATATCACTTGGTATGCTCTTCTATTTATCCCACCTGTTCATACACTCCACTATGATATATTTTGCGTGCAATTCTCACCTCTAGCACTTAGCCGTCCATCCTTTTATCCTCTTAACATTTCTTTCCCCTTTTTTTCCTTCCTCTCTTTGCCGTAATTTTCCTTTTTTCCTTCCACTCTTTGCCGTATTTCTCCTTTTTTCCTTCCTCTCTTTGGCGTAATTCTCCTTTTTTTCCCCACTTTTCTTTTACATTCCTCCCTTTTTTTTCCTTCCCTTTCCCTGCCATCCGCTGGCTGCAGGTCCCCTCAACACCAGCCACTGCCACACTGCCAGGGCCATGCCAGCCCATGCCAGCCGCCCAGGGCACTGTCTCACCCCCGCTGCCCTCAGCCGAGGTGTCTGAGATGGGCACAGATGTGGCGGTGGTGCCCTGTGGTGCTTGAGGCTGCGGGGATGCAAGTTTGTGTAATCGGCATGTGTGTGTTTGTCCGTTGGCTTGGCAATGTGTGTGTATGTGTCCACTGCAGCCCCTGGCTTGATCTGTGTTTAAGTGTGTTTGTCTATCAGCTGGCCAGCGCTAATACAGAAGCTGCAAGCCGAGCAGTCGTGTGTTTTAGGGGATGAGGCTAGGGCTGTGTGTGTGTGTGTGTGTGTGTGTGTGTTCGCAGCCAGCTGTGGAGAATGACATGCATATTAATATGGCAACATGATGACTTTGACCTGTACGAGAGGAGCCACTGGACGAAACCATTTAACTGCCATGTGTGCGGGTGTATGTGCATGAAAGAGTTTATAGTTTTATCTCTCTGCAGATGCTTACTGGGTGTTTGACAGCTGTTGACTTGGCCGAGCATGTAGCCATTCAAATTCAATTTTTGGCATTTATTGGTAAAACCATTTCTGACACTGATATTTTATCCGTAGTTTCCTGCTTCAGAGAAAAGTGAAGTCTGAGTTTTATAAAATCAAATTTAACGTCAAACTTAGGGTTTAAACTTTTTTTAAATCACAGTTGTGTTCAATAAATTAAACAGCAGATACAGCACAGGAACTACTTTTAAAGGCTTGCATATTGTGTTCCAGGGAGAGCCTGTAATATTTTATAAAATAGAGTCTGCAGGCCTCCATTTCTATGGCGCTTATTTTGCTAAGTGGAAGGGTTGCATTAAGTTTAAAAAACAAACGAACATATCTTTAAGTGTCTGAAAAAATATCTTTAAATCACAGATTTAAAGATACTTTAGGCATTGTACTATTGGTACATGAAGACACAGGAAGGAATTCCTGATTTAGGTCCACCTTAAGCAATATGCATATAGACACATCTCTGAATACAAAGGTATGGTTGCAATATTAGTGCAAAACTAAGTGAATTTACAAAAGGGAAATTGCATGACTATTACTTCCAGTCTTGATTAAGTATTTCTGAGCATTTCAAAGTGGAGATGACTTTAATAGATTATGTATGACTCACGATTTGGGTTGGCATTTTAGATTAGTTAGAACACTTTCGGAAATGTGAAAATTGCTTAAAAACCCACATCATTGATTGTGAAAGCAAAGAGTCCTCCAGGATCCATGTTGATGTTTGTCTTTAAACATAAAGAACGTAGATATAAAAATCATACATTAAAACCCAGCACTGTGTCATCAAACGTTTTGAATATCATAGGAAAAGGACAGTTTCAGCTGGTCAGGTTACCAGTTCACTCAAAGTCCAGCAGTTGTTAATACTGAACAGACAATTTTTATCACTCAGGGTTAAACCGTTCAACTATTTTACCCACCAATGTGTGTTTGCAGGGATTAAAAGATCCAACTTTACAGTATGTTTTTGATAATGAAGGAGGACGTCTCACAAAACAGGACAACTTTTATTTTTGGAGCAGCTTGTAAAGCAAGCATCAACTTAAAACACCCACAACCACACACATCCACATGTCACATACACACCTGCTGAGCTTTGGTCACAGCCTTTGGACGGCCTCAGGTCAGGGCTACGTTTAGAATTTTTCCCTTTTTTCCTCACTCGTCATGTTCTTTTTTCCTTTTTTTCCCCCCTGCTGTTACAAACTTAACAAATAAAACATTGAGTGAGTCTCCCTATGCTCTCTCTCCCTCTCTCTCTCCCTCTCTCTCTCTATCTGTTGTCCTTCTGGGGTTATTCCGAGCTACATGTAGTTCATTCGTAGTCATGCCTCTGTTTGCCCTCTCTTGTTCTATACTACAGAGCCATGCAAAGTCTTTGTAGTTGCTGTGTTCTGCTCTGTGTTACCGTTTGTGTGTGTTGATAGAAAGAGTGTGAGATTCACAGTAGCGAGGCTGGAAGGCGTTTGTATGACCAGCCTTGGAAGGCAGCTCTTTGATTTTGTCCCTGCAACTTGCTTACTCCCCTCTTTCATTCTGTCCTCCTCTTGTGGCCCAAATGATCACAGCCCACCTTCAAACAGGGGACATGAAGCACAAATAGCCTCTGCTTGATTTTGGATAGCCCTACCTTCCTTCTGATTAACACATACGTCGTATGCACACATACACACACACACACACACACACCCACACTTGTTTGTACAACTGCACGATTGGAAATGTGCACAGTGATACTCACATCAGTCCAATCCACATGCCTGTACACACAGGCACAAACACACACTCACACACACAGATGCATCCACGCATCCGGGGTCCCATGGCGGCTGGTGTGCTGCGCTGCGCTCCAGGATTGGATCATCAGCCAGCTGTGAGTTGGACAGCCCAGGATCCGTCCTAATCCCCACCACTCTGTTCACATCCCTCTCATGCACACACACACAAACACACATACACACTACAGTCCCGGCCCCAGCCCAGCAGAGGGCTTTACCAAGTTTGTTTGTTTGTTTGCTCCTGTCTTTCTTCACTTTCTTTCTTTTCTTCTTTCCTTGTCTCCATCCGGCCTCATCTCTCCCTGTGTTTTGATCACAGATCCCAAAGGCCACAGTGAAAACTGCCCAGCATAACTTCTGTCTCGATACATGCCAGATAGGCGTGAATGGGTAGATGTGTGTTTGCATGTGTTATTGTATCTGTGGATTGTTGAGACCTGCGTGCCTGCTCTCCAGTTTGGACGAGTCTGTCTGGTCTGTGATTGACCAAATCTTCCATCACTTCTATTATCCCTATGAAATCAAATATCCATGTTCATGAGGATGCTTGCCTGAAGCTGAAGATATTTGTCAACTGAAAACAGTTACTCTGAAAAGTTAACTTGCTGTCTTTCGCTCTCCTAGAACTTGAGACTGTCCATGTCCAAGCCATAAAATCTGTTGATTGATATGAGGTTTTACTTTACACACATGTAAACTAGTTAAAATATTTTTTCTAGAGGTAGAGGTAGATAGTTTAAGCTAGTATTCAACAATATGTTTGATGTTGTTGATATTAAATTATTATCTAAATATATTTTTTCGGGGGGGGGGGGTTTAAGAAAAAAACAAGGAGACTGCACCTTGTTTGCACAGTTGAACAGTGTCCTTCTTCTGCATGATCTTCAGAACCATAGTTGTGAGAATAATTGTTTCTTTAGGCTTAGCCTTAGTCTAGGGTTAGGGTTAGCTTTAACCTGGCTCATAGATGCTAAGTAGTTGACTATCTACTGACTATATGAACCATAGTTATGTATCGTGATAAAAATTGCATTACGCTTTTCTCAACCACTGCAGCAGTTCTGGAACCCAATACAGGTATCATTATGCTTTTCTCTGGATTTAATCACATGCTTGTAGGTGCATGAGAAGCAGCAGACAGTTGCAGAGATTATTTTGAGTCAAGCTGTAGAGGAAGCTATTGGTCCAGTAAAGGTCTTAAGTTTGAGGTTAGCCCAAGGGGACTGCTCCCCCATCTTCCACTGAAGGCAGAGTCTAAAATTGACCAAATTATGTTTATTTTTTTATTTTTATGAACATATTTTTATATATATTTATAACATTTTATAAGGTTTCGGAACACATAACAATACAATGGCATCCTACAAGTTTCCGATTAAGCCACCCATCCAACCCCTCCCCCTGCCTACTCCATCCCCACAATGACCAAATGATGGGTTTAAATTCAACTTCTCCTATGAATCAGAAAAAAGCCAATTAAAGAGGTACAGGTATTTGATTTAAAAGACAGAGGTATTCAGAAAGTATCCAACGTTTGAGATACCAGAAAATATCTAGAAGAATGTCCTCTTTCTGATCTGTGGGTGAGGAAGTTGAGACTGCAGCCTAACAGGTTAATCATTGTAATAGATGTGTTACATTGTTTAAGAACTGATTACATCAGATTCTGAAACAGTTCTATTGGCCATGTATGTAGGCACATGCAAGGAATTTGAGTCCGGTTTTACATTCCTGTCAATGAACAGGCCAACAGAA